CACGCATCTAACTCGGACTGAGGCAAGAGTCATTTTCAAAAGAACATCTTTTTTGAGTCGATCAAATTAATCCAACTTCGACACTTTTCACTTCTTCAACATCTAGAAATAAACCTTTTTCCATCTTCTTTTGAGATAAGAAACACGCAGTGCAATTAGTTTTTCTTCTCGCTTTCTGTCATCTCCACCTCGGTCTCGGGGAAATCTTTGAACTATTTCAATTTCAATGAATATCTAGAAAACAGGTTTTTCAAAAAAACTAAAAATTCTCCTTTGCTTTGAATTTCTTTTACTCTTGAGTCAAAATATTTAAGATTTTGTGATTCAAAAAGAGAAATGAATTAGAAGATGAATTAGAAGAAGAGAAGACTCAGGTTTGGCTTTCATTTCTTGGCTTTCATTTCTTGGCTTTCATTTCTTTACTTGATCTTAGCCAATAATTTGTACACGATTTTAAAGCTGACTTGAACAATAAAATTTCAATAGGATAGGCTAGGCTAGATTATAGTCTAGCCAGGTCTAGGCTAGATTATAGTCTAGCCAGGTCTAGGCTAGATTATAGTCTAGCCAGGTCTAGGCTAGACTCAATTCCTTTTAAAGTAACCCATGGTATAAAATGAGATATTTACAATTAGCACAAACATTTGCGTTTAGCTATAGATATAGGTTTCTTTTGTCAAGTCGAGGAAAACTTTTTGTACATTATCTAATAGTAAAGCTTGCTTATGAAAAGAAATTTCTCAGTTTTATGTATGTTTAGTGTATTTATTCAAAAAATCTAATAATCTGTAAGCCTAGTTATTGTTTTTTTAAAACACATTCGCGACTCAATAAATCTGATAATCTGTAAGCCTAGTTGTTGTTTTTTTAAAAACACATTCGCGACGACGCTCTATTTTGTATAAAATCGTTTACTATTTTACGAATAACTTTATGAGAATTTAAAGATAAACGAAACTATTCTAGTCATTTGATAGCTCTGAATCTACTCTTAAAAACTAGTATAAATTTATAGAGAACTTTCTGCGAAATCATTAATAAAATCCTTAAAAACGAGTTGAAACAAAAAAAAATTGTACGGCCAATTCGTTGTTAAAAAAACTAGAAAAAACAAAAGATTCAAAAAGATGGATAAGGAAAAGTCATGAAGAAATAGTGAGTGCTAATTGGACAAAAGTTTTGTGAGTGTTGGGCCAATTCCCCAAGAGACCCAATCAACTTGTTTTCGAAGAAACCATTTGCACTTCTTTCCCCTTTTCAAACATTTCCATTGTTGTCCTAAACTTTTTTTGCTTCTTTTCTGTCATTCTTTAAGTCAACCCCTACACAATTCAGCGTTTCTTTAGACTAAAAAGAGTTCTTTAATTTGATTTACAACTTAAATCTATTTTTTTAAATTTTTATAACCAAAGTTTTTAAGAGTTCTTAAACTCTAACAGTTTCCTTTTTGCTTTTTTGCCTTTTTGCTTTTTTTGCTTTTCTTTTTGAAGTCTTAAAAGTATCTAGATTCTTTACCATTTCACTTGAATATTTTTTTACATTGAAAACTTTGTCTTGTTTTACATTTATTGTCAGATTTCTCAAGAAAATGGACAACTGAATATCATTCTATTGAAAGAATGTTATCATCGAGGGGATCCGGCTCGGGTCCCCCGATTGGGCCACAAGATAGAAAAAGAAGTCTCATCGTTACACAAAAGAGATCCGGTAAGTCAAGGAAAGTCATAAAAAGTTAAGTAATTTATCTATTTTTGCTAGCTATTCATTTCATTTTTCATTCATTCATTTTTCAATGTTCAATTCAATTCAATGTTATCTGCTAACTGCAAAACCTACCGTAAATACTGTAATAGTACCCCATCCCCCTCGTACAGCCGCGTAGTCGCAAAAGTCGCAAAAGTTTTTTAGTATTTCATTTTTTTCAAAGCGCCCGTACTTTCAAAAAATGTGTCTTTGGTATCAAAAAACAGCTGAAATTCAGGGCTATTTTTTGATACCTAAGCGCGCATTGTAGCATAAAAGAGTGTCAAGAAAAACTCGTTCAAAGCTAGACTACGCAACACTCCGCACCGTCATTATGGGGGTGCGGTACTATTACAGTATTTACGGTAGGCTGTTACTGCCACCAAACTACGCTTGAGCTACACTTTTTTTTTCGCACCACCTCTCCTTTAAAACTTTAGATTTCTAAACTGAATAACTTTTGAATTAAATTATTACCAGTTCAATAGATAAGTAAGCGATAAAAGTGATCTATTACTATTAAACCAGATTACTTTTCTCTGCATTATTGTGTTAGATTCCATGTGAAACACCTACTGTTTAGACGTCTTACATTATTCCATCAACTCGTTTCTGGCTACCGTCTGTTCTACTTAATCAATTGGAAATAGTGATTTAAATCAGAAAATTGTTTTTCCTTTTGCAGACTGCCAAACATTTGGCATATAGAGCTTTGGTAAAACGAAATTATATTAGACTGTTCAGAAAGGCTTTTCGTTTCTTTTCATACTTTCGTTGAAAAATAACAAATTCATCAATTATCTATGATTTTCTCTAAATAAAAAGTGTTTCTTCTTCAATTTCCATCTTTTTAAGTCAATTTCGATTCACTTTCAAGCAAATTCGAGAGTAAAATCTATAAAAATCTATAAAAACCTCTACGAAGAGATTGGTTGAATGAATTTCTTTGAAAATTTAGTTATATACAAAACTTTTTATGCTTTATCTTTTATCTATTGACACGAAGATAGATTTCCTTAGCACTAAAGTGTCTAAACCGCATTATCGAGCCGTCGTCTTTTTTTGACTACTCAACTTCATGTTTCCAAAAAAAAAATCCAGATAGAAGACATTTTACACTGATTTTAATGTTATTTTGCATAAAAATAATTGACCTTTCTAATGAAATAAACTATAGATTAATTGGTGGATTTTGTTTTGTTTGTTTTTGTTTTTTTGTTTTTGTTGTTTGTTGATTTTAAACAAAAATACGAAAAGAAACGAAAAGACTTTCTTGACAGCCTAATAGAAATACACTGGTGGTCATATGTATTAGTACCCTCTTGCAAAAAATCTTCTCTCAACGATTGCCCCCCTTAAAACGCTGCCAAATTCAAAGTGCTAAAAAGCATTTTTTGCTAACAAGCTCTAGTCTCTAAAACCACAAAAAAATTGATTCGAAATGTTTATTATCTTTTTAAAAAATAGCAAGGACGGAAAAGACACCTCAAAAATGGTGGACAAAAGTATTGACACCTTAGCTTTTCCTTTATTTTTTTCTTGTTTACATTCATGTTTTGATGACTTTTTAAAATATTTAATTTTAGATGCCGTATCTACTGACTCCAATCAAAGAAAAGATCGTTGAAGGTCGAAGAAATGGAATGAAAACAGCAGATTTGGCTGAACAATTTGGATGCAGCGAGAGCACGGTGAAACGACTTTTTAAACAATCAAAGATTATCGGTTCTCTACACAGAGCTGCAAAATCTGGTCGACATCCATCAACAACAACTGCCGAGAATCGATCGATCATAGGGGAATTCAAAAAGGACCCAAGTCTCACCTCGACCGACAAAAGCCGCCTGTATAAATCACAATTCAGCACAGATATCTCAGCAAGGACCGTGAGGAGGCGACTCATCAAAGCAAAGTTGTACGCTAGACGACCAATAAAGAAGCCACGTATGACTCCTCGGATTAGGAAACTTCGTTTAGCCTTTGCTCGGAGGTACCAAAGTTGGACGAGTGACGATTGGAACCGAGTAATTTTCTCTGATGAGACAAAAGTTAATCTCTATCAGTCGGATGGACCTCCATTGATCAGGCGACCGATTGGAAAGCGGCTATTACTCAAGTATATCAAACCCACGGTTCGATTTGGGGGTGGAAATATTATGCGCTGGGGTATGAATTTCTATAGTTTTCTTCGTATAACTGTCAACTTGCAGGAGCGATGACAAGAAATGTGGTCGGTCCACTTGAGATGATCAATTCAACCATGAAGTCTCAGCGATACATGGGAATACTTGAGCAACGTTTACTTCCATTTGCGAGCAAAACATTACCTCAAGGATGGTTGTACTACCAGGACAACTCGCCAGTTCACACAAGCAAACTTATTATGGGACCTGTCGGAAGATTCTCGAATGGAAGACAGGTACGATTTCCGGGCTGGTTTGCGATTAATGGTGTTTCTTTGATTAAAGCATCTCCCTTTTCACCAGATTTGAACGTTATCGAGAATCTATGGTCGATTGTGAAAGCAAAATTGAAGGAGAAACACTTTTCACCCAAGGCGAGCTTTGGCTCTATCTACGTCTTGTATGGAATCAAATTGGATCATCAGTTTTGCACAATTTGGTCGACTCGATGCCCAGACGGATAGAAAAAGTCATTCAAGCCAAAGGAGGGCCAATAGACTATTAAATTTACTGTTGTTTTTGCAAGGTGTCAATACTTTTGTCCACCATTTTTGAGGTGTCTTTTCCGACCTTGCTATTTTTTAAAAAGATAATAAACATTTCGAATCAATTTTTTTGTGGTTTTAGAGACTAGAGCTTGTTAGCAAAAAGTGCTTTTTAGCACTTTGAATTTGGCTGCCTTTTAAGAGGGGCAATCGTTGAGAGAAGATTTTTTGCAAGAGGGTACTAATACATATGACCACCAGTGTAGAAGAATAAATCAAAAACACCAAAAGCTTTCCCAAAAAATCAAAACCAGCCGTCAGAAATCATCTTCAAAATGGAAAATAGCAGAGAGAATTTTTTTCCTTGATGGATCTTTCCGTTTACTTGTCTTTTCTATCCATTTTCATCGAATGAAGTACAAGTGAAAGGGGGGAAATGAAAGGGAAAAGCCATCCTCTTAAAGGGAAATAATTCGATTCATCGTATCCCTTCTTCTAAACCCTTTTTCATTCACCCCAAATGTATCCCATTTCTTTTTTTGCACTAGTAAGCCTGATCTGTAAATAGTAATCTCTATCTGAATCCTCGATGATCCCGATTTCTTTGGAGAAAAGTCCCTCGCGGATGGAGGCCCGGAAATTCCACCATCACTCCTCGCAAACTTCGTCCATTTATCGAACGGGTATTTCGACGGGTTTGTAAAATAGATCTTAATGTCTTAATGGCTGATCTTAATGACTTCATCTTCACTATTCTTCATCAAACCTCATCTCCAACTCATCCTAACATCTCCAACTAATAATATTGTAGTTTTATGTCTAGCACAATGCTAATTTCAATTTGTTTTTCTAATTTTTCTAAACTTTCTACAATCAACCACTTATCCGACTTCAACTACTGATGCTTGATTGTGATCAAGAGAATTTGAACCTTTTATTTTGATGCTTCACTAGCAATACGTTTTAGTACTATGTACTAGTACTATATGTCATTGTATTACGTTCCAGTACTATTTACTAGTACTATATGTCCTTGTATTACGTTCCAGTACTATTTACTAGTACTATATATACTTATATTACGTTCCAATACTATGTACCATGTTACTAGTAAGCACAGCTATGCTACAAGCTCCCATTCAGAAATTCCGAACTTTAAACTCTCCATAGAAAGCGTAAAATTTCTTGTGAAAACTCCAGTAAGTGTCACTCTTATTCTGCGTTCAAATGGGTGTTTTTCGTGATCGTTAGGAAAAAATGGGAAAGAAAAAGAGGGAATAGGTCAAAATGGGTATCCATATTTCAAATAGAAGAGGTGAATGGAAAGAAGAATGAGAGGGACTGAGAGAGAAGAAGTCGGACGGGGAGGGAAGTCCCATTTCGGATCACCTTCACCCCATTTTTCCCAAATTCATTCGCATTTTCATCTCATTTTTCCACTTCTTTCCATCAACATCAACATCAACAGCAATATGCGCTTGAAAGCAACAGAATTGAACAGGTAATTCTCGTGTATTTGATTAGAATTTGATTAGAACTTGATTAAATTGTCTTGTTATTTGTACATTCGATACTTTCATCGCTGAAAGAAAAGGTTTTTTGGCCAAAACTTTTGAAGTAACATCAGTTTTGGTGTCTTGAATCTTGAAGATCCAGGGTTTTCTGCGAAGTTTGAGAAGTTCCAACGATCTTTGAATGATTCAAACGATTTTTAAACGATTCAAACAATCTTTGAACGATTCAAACGATCTTTGAACAATTCCAACGATCTTTAAACGATTCAAACGATTTTTAAACAATTCAAACGATCTTTAAACAATTCAAACGATCTTTAAACAATTCAAACGATCTTTAAACAATTCAAACGATCTTTGAACGAGTCAAACGATCTTTAAACAGTTCAAACGATCTTTGAACGATTCAAACGATCTTTGAACAATTCCAACGAGCTTTGAACGATTCCAACGATCTTTAAACAATTCAAACGATCTTTGAACGATTCAAACGATCTTTAAACAATTCAAACGAGCTTTGAACGAGTCAAACGATCTTTAAACGATTCAAACGATCTTTGAAACCAAGCTCTTCGGAATGTCAAATTGAAAACTTTAAACAATTAGCTAAAAAAATCAATTTCCGAGTTTTTATGTGAAAAGTATCGGGTTTTGTCGTTAAATGTTGGCCTTTTCCCCCTAAAAACTTTCTTTTCTTTCTTTTCCCTTGATCCAATTTCACACCCCTATTTGAAGTGGTGTCTCGAATTTTTGGTCCTTTCACTCGGGATTTCCTTTTTAAAAATTCCATTACAATAATTTACTAAACTAAACAAAAACTAATAAAAAACAATAAAGAAACATGGACTTCTCGTAAGTTTTTTTTTCTTCGATTCATTATCGAAAAATCACAATTTTAGTGGCCAAAGCGGCGGTGCTTTCGTCGGCGATGTTGGCAAGGAAGAACTCGTCGACTAGGTCAGATTGATTGTCGACTAGGGGAATTGATCTAAAAAGCTTTATGGTACAATTTTGTTAGGGTAAAATTCACCCCATCAATTCAGTTGCACTTCGCAAAATTTGCGTTTGCTTTGCGAATTTGCGTTTGCGAAGCAAATTCGCAAAATTTGCTGAATTTTACGATTATTTAGCAGACCTTTTGCAAAATTTTACCGTAGGGTTATTTTATTGAAAAACGGAAATGCTCATAAAATGTTTTGTTTATTTTTTTTTCAGAATTGGTGGCACTCAATTCGCACCCCGTGAATCCATCGCTATCATTTCGGATATGCTCACGAATACACCGAAAAGGCCACCGAATAAGGGTTTGTTCTGAGATTTGTTTATGATAAAATATTCGTAAAATATTAGACAAGTTAAGAGACACCTTTACCCCAAGGAAACCTATCTTCGTCTTAATAGATAAAAGATAGAGTATAAATATTTGCTTTTGCATATAGAGAAATTTTCAGAGAAATTCATTCAACCAGTCACTTTGTAGAGGTTTTTATGGATTTTTTTTACGAAAAACACGAAAAAACAAAAACAAACAAAACAAAATCACCCTTCTAAATTTCCCCCCCCTTTTTTTTTTTTACGAAACGAAAAAAAAAACGCCCCCCCCCAACGGCGGTTTCCCCTACCGACCCCCCCCCCCATTTTCCTTCTCATTCAACCAATCTCTTGAGGTTCGAATTTGCTTGAAAGTGAACCGAAATTGACTTAAAAAGATGGAAATTGAAGAAGAAACACTTTTTATTTAGAGAAAACTATAGGTTAATTGATGAATTTGTTATTTTTTAACAAAAGTATGAAAAGAAACGAAAAGAAATGTCTTTCTTTGAAGCTATCTTCGTCTTAATAGATAAAAGATAGAGCATAAATATTTGCTTTTGCATATAGCTAAATTTTCAGAGAGATTCATTCAACCAATCACTTTGTAGAGGTTTTTCTAGGTTTTTATAGATTTTTGTAGATTTTTGTAGATTTCACTCTCGAATTTGCTTGAAAGTGAATCGAAATTGACTTAAAAAGATGGAAATTGAAGAAGAAACACTTTTTATTTAGAGAAAATCATAGATAATTGATGAATTTGTTATTTTTCAACAAAAGTATAAAAAGAAACGAAAAGACGAAAAGAAATGACTTTCTTTGAAGCTACCGTAATCCGGCTGCTTTCTAAAAACTTAGAAAGCAGCCGGATTACGGTATCCTTGGGGTAAATCTTTCATTAACAAATCAATCAATTTCTAGACTACCTCGATAACGACTATGTGGAGAATATCTTGAAATCTGCTTGTTTGTTGTCTCTATTTACAGGTAACTTAATTTTTTGAGAATTCAATATAAATAATAGCCTCTAGTCTGCATCCATACCCCAGTCACTTTCGGCGTTTGGTGGCTGTTGAGCTATTTGGTGTGGGCGATTGATGGGATTTGCGTGCTGCTCTTCTCGGCCGATATCGTCGCCCGAGCGATTCGTGATGGAATTTATCGAGTGAGATAATATTATTAACAAGAACAATGAATCCGATCGTTTCATTGCAGGACAGAGACTCACTGTTAACCCATCGATGGTCACAATTCGATGTGTTCATGCTGATCGCCCATTGGGGTTCATTGGTGTTGCACACGTATCAATTGATAGGTGAATTTGGGCTTTTGTAGCTCATTTTGTAGGAGGATAGTCGCCGTGGCGAAGTCGGGAGCGTGCTTGTCTGCGGCTCGCCTGGTATAAGACCCGGGTTCGACTCCCGACTGTGACTTTTGCTTTTTAAAAAAAACGTAAGATGAGATGCACAACTACATAGAATTCTAAGTCTAACAAACTAAAAAGCATGTAAATCGGCCCACGGGGAATCGAGAAATCGTGCCGACAGACAGACAAACACTTTTCTTTTATAGACATTAGATGATTACACCAAAACAGTACATAGATACAACAAAATGTACACCAAAATGTACATTTTACTTTTTTCAAACGTTTCTAGCAACAAGGGTTATTGATTCGCAAGTTTTGAGGAGGGTATAAAGAGTTTGAACGCCTTGGTTTTATAAACAAACATCTTTAAAGGAGAGATGTCAATTTCGGTCAATTTTCAACAAAACCTTTTTCCAAAAATTACTGCTTATTTTTTTATTTCGTGTATTGGTGTCCAGAAAGCATAAAAATGATTTGACAAAAAGCATATGGAAAGACTTACGCTATTTTAAGCCTAATTATTCTTGTTGTCTGTTCTATTAGGGTGATAGGAATGAAGCCAGCGCTCACACATCTTTCCAAAATTAAAAAGATGGCAAGCCTCAGCCAATAAGTGTTGTATACTATTAGAAAGCCCTAAATCTCCTCTACAAAAAGATGGAAAGACTTACGCTATTTTACGTAGAATTATTCTTGTTGTCTGTTCTATTAGGGTGATAGGAATGAAGCCAGCGCTCACACATCTTTCCAAAAATAAAAATAGTTTGTGTTGTTGATTCGCAAGTTTTGTGGAGGGTATGAACGCCTTGCTTTGTTTTGTGGAGGGTATGTATGAAGGGTTTGAACGCCTTGCTTTCATAAACAAACATCTTTAAAGGAGGGATGCAGAGGTCAATTTTCAACAAAACCTCTTTTTTGAGACTCGAGCTGCGGTTACTTTTTAACACACAAATCTTCAATAATCAATCCAATTCAAAACCTTTTTGCACTAGAGTAGAGGAGATTCAGGGCTTTCTAATAGTATACAACACTTATTGGCTGAGGCTTGCCATCTTTTGAAAAAATGGGGGGCCGCTGTTTTCCCCCCCCCACTTAAAAAAAAAAAAAAAAAAGGATAATTAGGCTAAAATAGCGTAATTCTTTCCATATGCTTTTTGTCAAACCATTTTTATGCTTTCTGGACACCAATACACGAAATAAAAACATAAGCAGTAATTTTTGGAAAAAGGTTTTGTTGAAAATTGACCTCTGCATTTAAAGATATTTGTTTATAAAAGCAAGGCGTTCAAACCCTTTATACCCTCCTCAAAACTCGCGAATCAATAACCCTTGTTGTAAAAGGCTGTTATTTGTAAATAATGGTAAAAATAACGTTATTTTTCTTTTCAGGTACCCATTTCCCGCACCTCATCCTCCCCTATTACGATTGGTTTGGTGTGATTCGATCCGTTCGCCCGTTCATCATCATTCGTTTGTTGAGATTGGCGGTCAAGTTCAAATTGCCGAAGCACCGGATCGAGCAATTATTGAAGTAGAAAATTGACTTTATTTAACTCTCATTTAAGCTAAACCAACCGCTTTTTGGACGCGGCAAAAAGCAAAAAAAAAAACTTTTTTGGACAGTCAATCAGTTTTGGAACTTCATGGGCAAAGATGACTTTAAAAATGTTTAAGTTCAATAAGCTCTATTAAATGATAGGTTTATTAGAGCTTATTGAACTACCATTTTTACTCTCTACCCTTTTTAATCACCTTTTTATCTTTGTTTAACTACCGTAATCTTCTCTTCAGACGTTCCTCTCAACAAGTGCAAAATGTGACCGTGTTTTTCGTCTTTTTTATGGCTTTTTACGCGATCATGGGCATTCAGCTCTTTGGAAGAATGGACTATCATTGTGTATTGAAAAGTGAGAACTTTATATTTATCGTATTTTCTCTAATAGTAGTGCACCATGAACGTCGCCTAAATTGCTCGAAATCTCGAGAACTGCTTATCAGAACCTATTGATGTGGGGTCGGAAAATGTAGCTGACGATGAGATCTAGTGGGGGATTTGAGTGTTGAGCTTCTGCAAAAGCTTGGAAACCGTAAAATCGTCACCAACTCGGCTCGCCGGGTGCACTACTATTAGAGAAAATACGGTATAGACATAAGTTGCATATATATATTTTGAAAATTCGAATTTCTAGCCACCGATCCGAACAATGTGACGATAGCCGACTTGGCAATCCCGGACACAATGTGCAGCAAACCGGGAGGTGGTGGGTGAATACAGGAAGATTATTTGTAGTGTTAAATACCATATGTCTATAAAATAATCTAAAGCTTGTAGCTTGTCTTGATACCGTCTATTGAACATCATCGTCTACTTTATGAACATCAATCGTGAATTCAAAATCGTCAATTGAATTTAGAGATATTCAGTCATAACATCAAGGCACTAATTCTGGTGTACTGTAGCTGAATATCTCTTATTTTATAAATAATCGTACTGTAGACTGAATAGCTTTCACAAATGATAGATAAAAATGCTTTCTACTAAAAATTCGACTAAATACTAATTCTACTAAAACTACTAAGACTAAAAAAAGATAAAAGACTACTAAAAGATAAAAATTCAGGTTTACTGTAGCTATTTAGTAGTTTCCTTAAGATCTTTAGGATTTTAATCTTTAAGATTTCTTTATCTTTAAGATTTCAATGCTTATGTTACGTTCGATCTAGACTGATTCTAGATCGGACGTCCGTTCTAGATTGAAGTGAGGTCAAACGTCCGATCTACCAAGTCGATCACTCTAAATCTAAGTCTGGATAGGACGTCTGATTTAGAATGATGAATGATCGGCTTGGTAGATCGGAGGTTTGACCTCACTTCACTCTAGATCGGACATAACATTTATATCAAAAGATATACTCAATAGATTTTTCTTTAATATTTAATGTTTATTAGAAGAGTTTAGGTGGCTACGAGTGCCCCTTACCGATGGTCTGTATGAGGCTAAATATGGATGCGAAAACCGAGGGTTTCTATGGGATGTTCAACGATTTTGGTGAGTAAAAAGCAAATGCTATCTTGTGATGGATAAAGATACTAATATTTATATTGTACTATGTACAAGCGAAAACTTCGACTCGGTTCTAGGTGCTTCCGTATTCACTGTATATCTGGCGGCCTCCGAAGAGGGATGGGTCTATGTTCTGTATGACTGTATGGACTCTCTTCCATCACATCTCGCTTTTATCTACTTTCTTACGCTCATCTTCTTTTTGGCTTGGCTGGTCAAGGTAGAATTGAAAATGATTTTCTTAATAATTATGACTCTAGAACGTGTTCATTGCGGTGATCACAGAAACGTTTGCCGAGATTCGCGTGCAATTCAGCGAGATGTGGCAGAAGAAAGAAGTGACCGTGGATGATGGATTTAAGCAGGTGAGGGCAAAGCTTTCAAGCTCACTTTGCTAGACTTGCTACCGATTAGCGTATCTAGTTTTTAAACTAGATAAGCTTTGGACTTAGAATGTCAAGATCATGGCCGGCTCAAGCCTTGGCCTAACTTCTGGACTTGTCTGATCACTTTATAGTACTTGAGTTTGGATTGACAAGGATTGTTCCAGATCAGGCAAAATTTCGGCCTGGCTTCTGGACTTGCTTGATTGAAACTGGCTAAAGATTGCCCCCAGCTCCGTAACCCAGTCAAGATCTCTTTGATCTCTATTTGAGCTTACAATTAACTGCGCTAGTATCCGTGAACAAACTCATACTGTAGTAAGACAATATTTCGATAATATCTTTGAAAATAGATAATAAGTAATACAATCTCTCTAGAAACTCGAGAAAACGGAGGACGGTTGGCGTTTGGTTCGAATGGATGAGAATCTCCACGTTGAGGGGCATCGACAAAAATTGCAAACGGTCAGTGAATCGTTTGAATATTTTTCAATCGAAAAACAATTGAAAGCCTTTTCAGCCATTCTATTCTTACATCCAAAATGAGATTGCCCCAAGAATCGTGAGTAGTTGTCGGATAAGTAAACGAGTAAAATCCCTTTTGCTTCTTCTCAAGAGTCGCTACTCAAACTTTTTTTTTGTAAAATTTGATATAGAAAATTGGCTTTAGTTTCTCCGATCGATGGTTTTCCAATGTTTGGTCATCGTTTTTGTTTTGCTGAACGCGGCGGTGAATGCCTCATTTGTGCATAAACATGATCAAAGCGATGTGATTCGGAGGGAGAATTACTGGTACATTGAGGTCAGTCTTACATTCAGGGTCAAGGATATTCACCCAAGCAGGTCTTTAATTAAAAGCCAGGGTCTAGCCTGACTCACAACTTGGCTAGCTCAAGTACATAGACCTAGTGGCATAGAGACCTAGACCTGTTCTGGACATCGACTTGGATCTAAACCTGGTCCTAGATATGGACTAGACTTGGGTCAGGATCTGGCTTGAGTCTAGATCTAAACCATGCTTGAACTGACCTGGCCTGGCGCATAACCTATCCCATAACCATGCCATAATCATACCATAACCAAAAATCTAGGTCTAGAGCCAGGTCTTAAACTGGACCTAGACTTTGGCCTGATATGGCTTGCAAGGCCTGATATCCATGCATTAGACCTATCCTTTGAGCGTGCAAACATACCCTTTCTGGCGCACTCAACTCATGATAACAGTTGCTGTCTAGATAGGGTGTGTTTAGCCATTGTTCTGCACAAAGACACGTTTCAGATCTTGAAAATGAAGTGATTGTCGAAAAAAGTGTTTAGATCGGTTTCACGATTCTCTTCAACATCGAATGCTTGGCGAAAATCGTGTGCTTCGGTTGGCGGCCGTTCATTAAAAGAGGGATTTTTAAGTAGAGAAAATCTATAAACGGACTGGAAACAAGCAATTTTTACAGATTCGAGTTAATTTTGTGCATCGGAAGCTCGTTGAATCTGATCAAATACTTTTACGAGCGCAACTATTTCACGTATTTCCAAGCATTTCGCCTCCTTCGACTCATCAAAGCCTCGCCAATCCTCGAGGATTTCGTGTGGAAAGTGAGGGGATTTTCAAAGAGTGCTAAAGGTTACCCCCAGCTCCTTAACCCAGCCAAGATCTCTGTGCTTTGATCTCTATTTAAGCCAAATAGTCAATGCTAGAGTAACGATAGAAACCAGTTAGGCTACTGTAACAGTTACTAACTGGGTTACGGGTTACGATAGCCTTTAACTACATGCAAATTTTAGCTATTAAAATTGAGATCACGTTAGATTTAATGGCCAGAAGGCCATTAAAAAGCTTGCTTCCGGCGTGCTTTGTGCTCAAAAAAAGTCTAATCACACCCTTCCCGGAGCACTCAAATTTTAGCACTAGTTTTAGCACTAGCAGACAACTTGTTCTTATGAGGAAAAGGAAAAACCGAGTGCGCTAGAAGGGTTGCATTTTGAGAGCACAAAGTACACGATTCAGCGTAAAGCTAGGTCAAGTTAAACTAGTAAATTGAAGTATTTAGATTAGATTTTCCTTTTTCAGATCTTCAGTCCCGGGAAAAAGCTCGGTGGCCTCGTCATCTTCACCATCACTTTTGTTATCATCGCCTCTGCAATTTCCCTCCAACTCTTCAACTCTGTGCCAAATTTGCCGTATTTTCACACGTTTCCTCAAGTATTTCTTAAAGATATATAGATATTATAGATCTAGCATATATATCTAACAAGAGAAAGGCAACAGTGGACTGAGCTGTGGCCAAATGAGATAAGCCGTACACCCTTCGACGCAGAATTTCACGCTGATTCCGAAGCTGCTTTCTGTTTTTGCAAAAGCTTTCTATAAAAAGTTATAAATGTTTTAAGTTTATAGGGGGAAAAGGCGAAGATTTGGATGGATACCTTTATAAAGTTTTTCTCACAGGACTCAAACGTGGCTTGGTGGGATAGTGGATAAAATGCTGGCATACAAAACGAGCTTTGCTATAAAGGAACTATAAAGGAACTATAAAGGAATTATAAAGGAACCAAATAGGAACTATAAAGGAACTATGAAAGAACTATAAAGGAACTTTAAAGCAACCAAATAGTAGGTACTATAAAGGAACTATAAAGGAACTATAAAGGAACTATAAAGGAACTATAAAGGAATTATAAAGGAATTATAAAGGAATTATAAAGGAACCAAATAGGAACTATAAAGGAACTATGAAAGAACTATAAAGGAACTTTAAAGCAACCAAATAGGTACTATAAAGGAACTATGAAGGAACTATAAAGGAATTTTAAAAGAACCAAATAGGAACTGAACGCGCTAAAATTTACTTTCTTTGCTCGAGTTCGATTCCTTGTTTTGCGTTTTAATGTTTACACACCTGAATTTTAACTGGCATTAAAACTATTTGAAATGTTTAAACTATAGTTGAGATTTTCTCATGGCTTATCTCATTTGTCGATACTATTGTTGCCTTTCTCTTGTAAGATCTAGATCAAATTTCTTTACAGGCTTTCATGTCGATGTTCCAAATCATCACTCAAGAGGGATGGACGGATTTCGTCGTTGAAGTAAGTCAATTTTAGGATACCGTATACTTAAATGAATATTTTGACATTTAAATATGATTTCCAGTTTTTAAATGCTAATTTTCATGCCTATTTTTGCCTATAAACTATTTTTTTTTATTTCAGGTCCTCCGCGCCACTCCCGATGGAATTGTCCCTTTCGTGGCTATTTATTTTGTCGCTTATCACCTTTTCGTTACACTGGTAGAGTGGATCATATTATTATTTAATAGTCATTTTATCAGATCATATTATTATAGTTGAATTACGGTAACTCTATTGCAGTTACGGCGCAAAATTCAGATCGTTCTTTCCTTATTCGTGGCCGTTATTCTCGACAATTTGGAGATGGACGAAGAGTTGAAAAGAGTGAAACAATTGAAGGCAAGAGAAGCGGTGAGGGAATTGGAAAGATGAATTCAATCATATAATATATTATATCCATTCAGACCACTGAAATGCGCTCGACTCTCCCGTGGCGTTTGCGGGTTTTCGAGAAATTCCCGACTCGACCGCAAATGGTTCGGATGAAACGCGTGGATTCTGAGTTTCCGATGCCAAAAGTAGGTCTATATTTAGTAAGGTTACTGTATTTAATGACAAAATATTCAATCTTTAATTGAATTGCCTTGTTATTCTATAGGAAACAAAAGATTATGGCACTGTGACTGTTGGCTTTTATGATTCAGACTTTTTAGCCTAGCTATTGAGTTGGTGAATTGAAAACTGCCGGACTTTGAACTAAAATTTATTCAACATAAAACCATGAATTCATTCCAAATAATTTCCATTATCATTGACGACTTCTGCCCATTTTACAGGCAATTTGCGGATTCCTCAGATCCTCTTTCGTAGTAGGATTTTGGTTTGTGTGTGAGACAAGTGTGAGACTCAAAAATCGAGGACTGGAGATGTCCCAGTTTGAGCACTTTCTTCAAAAGAAACCCATTTTGGTGTCAATAGAAAAGTTGTAGAGAATCAAAAATGAGGCTTATAGCCAAATTTCCAAAAAGATACACTTAGTAAGTTTCGCTTAAAATGCAAGTTTTGTGGAAATTCGTAAATTTGGCATTTCTTGAGAACCAGTTTTTGAATCGTTCTGAAAATTTGGATATAAGCTTCATTTTAGATTCTCTACAACTTTTCCATTGACACCAAATGGGTTTCTTTTGAAGAAAATGCTCAAACTGTCACATATGACAATAGCCGGCAGTTTTCAATTCACCAACCCAATAGAAACCCTTAAAACATTTTAAATCTTTAGTTATTAACTTTAAAAGATGATATTTAACTATTAGAACATTGATCTTTAGATATTTAGCTTTAAAATACTTTTCTTATATCTAAATTTAGGTACGAGATAGTTTCACACATCAATTCGCTGTCGAACACGCCGATCCGGAGAGTCCGGATTTAGGTAAGAAGCAGAAAAAGAATCATATTTCCTTTAGACAAATCTAGAACTTTCTAATAATTGTAATCAATTAAATTTTGAGAAATCGAGACGACCAAGTGCGTCTTTCGCTTAGCGGCTTTTAAAAGGAAATCGTATCGAATGGAGCCACACGTGAGACACATCGGAAGTACGTCGATGAAAGCATCAATCGCCAACTTGCTTGAGTTAGTTCACACAAAAAAAAACTGAAGATATTGTTATCAAGGCCATAAAATAGACTTTACTTTTCAAGAAAATAGACGCAATTCTCGATAGCGATCCAGATTTTCTCATATTCTCGAAAAAGATATGTCTATATCTATCAATCTTTCACATATTCTCCAAAAAGAAATGTCTATCAATCTTTCATCTTTCATTTTCTCTCTAAATAGAAGCACGCCCTATATATTCTTTTTTTCTGTAGTTGAAAAAGGGCTGACTTCTTTTTAGAGGGGAAAAGATGAGAATAAGCACTTTAAAACTTGAAATCAAGGCTTAAAAGCAAGATTGATCGTTAAAAATCGTTAAAAATTGGTTAAAATTGGTTCAAAATCGTTAAAAATCGTTAAAAATCGTTAAAATTCGTTAAAAATCGTTAAAAATCAATGTAAAACGGGTACAGTTCTAGCTATTGATGCACTTTGCCCTTTATCCCTAATGTTTTTTATCCTTTTGTTGTAAATATCTATCAATTCGATTGATCTCATTTCTTTTCCCCATCTCCAGCTATTCGGATCGAACTCGTCAACTCGTGGCCTCGTCTTTTCATTTCCTGCCCCGTTTATCCCAATCGGTGCACCGAAGAAAAGACGCGATACCGTAAGGGTGAACGCAATGCATGCCAATGAATGCAATTAATCAATAAGAGAATGATCATCAGAAATTTGATAAAGTAATGAGTAAAGCATTGGATAGACATAAGAAAATGAAAATGAAATGAAATGAGCGCTTTAGTATGGCCCTTATTGAGATGTTGAATGTGTTGATCAAAGCCTAAGCCTAAGCCTAAGCTTAAGCTCAAAGCCTAAGCCTAAGCTCAAAGCCTAAGCCTAAGCCTAAGCCTAAGCCTAAGCCTGATCCAAGGCCAAAGCCTAAGCCTAAGCCTGATCCAAGGCCAAAGCCTAAGCCTAAGCCTAAGCTCAAAGCCTAAGCCTAAGCCTAAGTCTAAGCCTAAGCCTAAGCCTAGGCCTAGGCCTAAGCCTAAGCCTAAGCTCAAAGCATAGCTTAAAATGTTTTGTTTTTTTGGAGTAAACGATTTAGTTACAAAACAATTTTTGTTAGTACTATCATTTCGCTAAACATTTACCATCAAAAATTAGCTAGAATTGACAGTGATGCTGGCAAACTTTGAGTCTCCAGGATCCAGGATCTACTTAACCCTTAGATTAGCCTCGTTTTGAGTAGAATTTCAAGTAGAACAAGAGTAAATAAGTCTAACCACCATTTTCCCCTAATCCGTCTGTCATCTAGTCAATAGTCGTCAAAAAATTCGTTGTTGATTTCAGATTGAATCAATCACTGCCGAACAGACTCACCATTAGGTATATCATGGCCAAAAATCAAATCGATCACTTCGCCAAAGCTACTAAAAATTTCCTCGTGATTTCGAAAAACTCTCCCCTCTAACCTCTTACCTTTAAATATAAGATTTCTGATTTGTTTATTGCTCAAAAATCTCGAATGCAAACTGTACTTCTAACTTGTTCGAGCATGGCGCAAAAAAGGCAATCAAATTGAATGTTAGCTTACCAAAGTTTTCGAACTATACTTCTAACAAAATCAGATTTTTTTATTAGAAAAGATTCTCGATTTTTCAGCTTCAGCAAGGCTCGACAACAGCCAGCAAAAATGTTCAATCATCCACATCAATCGTCTTTTCAATCGAAATATTTTGAGCATTTCGAGAATGGCGATTTGATTCGACCATCGGGTGAGATTTTAAAAAGGGTTATGGTAGTTGTGGGCTACAGAATGGATTACGGGAATTGGGTTACGGGAATTGGGTTACGGGAATTGGGTTACGGGAATTGGGTTACGGGAATTGGGTTACGTGTTGGGTTACGGTGGGTTACGGGATTGGTTACGGGATTGGGTTCGTGAATTGGGTTACGGGTTGGGTTACGGAATTGGTTACGGGTTGGGCTCGGTATTGGCTACGGTAATTGGCTACGGTAATTGGCTCGGTATTGGCTCGGTTGGTCGTAATTGGGCTACGGTAGTTGTGGGTACTGTAAGAAGTTTCGTTAGACGAAGAGTTTATCTAGAATCCATTTTCAGATTCGGCTCCGAAGAAAGATGCGAAACAGGGAGAAATCGACATTCGAGCACTTCAACAAAAACGACAATTGGCTGAGATTACAAGGTTTGCGAAGCTAGATTTGTAACCAAACTTACCTTATCTAGGAATCGAATCGAAGAAGATATGCGGGAAAATCATCCATTCTTCGATCGTCCACTTTTCATGGTCGGACGAGCATCAAAAGTTTGAATTAAAGAGAAATCCAAATCACTTTTTGCAGATGCGAGACTTTTGCAAAAAGATTGTACACGCGAAATACGATCAAAGTGAAGAGACGTCGCTGGGTGGAGCCGTGAAAGCACAAAGGAGATATAAAGAGCTACAGTAAGTCTAAGTCTTCAGAAATCTCGTTTCCTAAAACATTTCCCCGAAACACTACCGTATTACCTCTAGTTTTTAGCCAATATATTCACTTTTTGTATTCTTTGTGTATCGATAGATTGGATAGATACACTACTGGACAATGAAATATCATATTTGAAAAACGATCTCCTTCCCTTGTCTTTACCGTATTTCTAAATATTAATATTACCATTGTGTAGCCCTTGAAAAGAGCTTTCAGAAAATGTATAACACTAATAGTTTAAACTCAAAGACAAGGGAATTACAGACGCGCGAAGGTGACGATCGTTTTTTAAATATCATATTTCATTGTCCAGTACTGTAGATAGATTGGATAAAGCTAAAGTCATGATTACGATAGTTTTTTTCTGAAAGTTCACAAATTTTAGGAAACAATAGTGAAATGTTTAGCGCTCTGGTCGGTCTAATGCCGTACCTCGATTGGTCGATGGTTTTGATCACGGTTCTCTCGTGCGTTTCGATGCTTTTCGAAAGTCCCTGGCCGACCAATGGATCCTATCTTGTCATGAACAATTTCTATCTACAAGTTCAACAAAATTCATCAAATGAAAGCCAAAAATTTGAATCTAGATAGCCGACTATTTGTTCGTTTTGTGTATGACATTCGAATTGATTGTGAAAATTATTTCAAATGGCCTCTTTTTCACGCCACATGCTGTGGTCAGAGATGTGGGCGGAGTCATGACCATGTTCATTTATTTTGTAAGTTTTCATAACTTTTTAATAAAAAGTGAAAGAATTGGGTTTCCGTAGAGGGGATTGAACCCTAGACCTCGATCCTCGACCCTCGGCCCTCGACTTTCGCTTTTAGCATTTTACTCTTTGTGTCTGCCTTTTTTCTTTTTTTTGTTTCTTTCACCAGAGCCAATTGCTCTAACCACTGACCCATCCGGTATTCAAATCCCCAAGAGAAAAAGGGAAAGACAAAGTGAAAGAAGAAAAGAAGTACACTATAATATTCTAATAATGAATTTCCAGACCTCAGTCATATTCCTTTTTTGGATGCCGGAAAGTGTTGAGATCAACTCTTTAGCGCAAATGTTGATGATTTGCAGAGCAATGCGACCGTTAAGGTGAAAATTGATGTACTTTGTGGGTTCAAGAGTTTAAACGCAACCTTTCTGGTAGATTTGACTCTTTCAATTGACTTGTAATCACAAGAAATGATGACTGAAATTTTACTAGAGCTTTTTCAATGCAAAATAAGCTGGTGAAGTTATTTTTCTAGAATCTACACTCTTGTGCCGCACATTCGGCGGGTTGTTCTAGAGTTCTTCCGTGGCCTCAAAGAGATCCTTTTGGTAACAATTCTCCTGATCGTTTTGATGTTCATCTTTGCGGTGATGTCCGTGCAAATTGTTGGCGGAAAGCTGGCAGCGTGCAATGATCCGAATGTCACGATACGGGTATTGAATTTGAAGAGGAATTCTTTTAGATAAAAATTTTTAGGACAATTGCACTGGTGTCTTTGAGCAGAAGATCTTCGTCACCCGGATGGAGGTTTTCGGGAAAAACGATGAGAGTCTCCATCCGAAGATTTTGGTGCCGAGAGTTTGGTGAGTTGAGGGTTTTAAATGCAAAATATTTTCTGGCTATCAAATTCTCAAATGTTCAGAATCTAAATTTAGGACGAATCCACGGAATTTCAACTTTGATCACATTGGGAACGCGATGTTGGCTTTATTCGAAACTCTTTCATATAAAGGATGGAATGTCATACGGGATATTGTTTATATTAGACATGGACCGGTAAGAAGAAGAATAATTCAAAGCATTAAAAGATATTCAGTGGGCAGTCATCTTCATTCACATTTATGTCTTTATCGGCTGCATGATCGGCTTGACGCTTTTCGTCGGCGTCGTCATCGCGAATTACACGGAGAATCGGGTAACGAGAATCGTGTACTGTAGCTTACTGTAGCTAGTAATGTGGGTTTACTGTAGCTTTCGATTAAGTTTCATCACGGTTTCGATTGGGTTCTATATTGGGACCGATCTGGTTCCGATTTGGTTCCGATTTGACTCCGATTTGACTACGATTTGGCTCCGATTTGGTTCCGATTAAGCTCTATTACGGTTCCGATTGGGTTATATATTGGCTCCGATTTGGTTCCGATTGGGTTCTATATTGGTTCCTATCTGGTTTCGATTTGGTTCCGATTTGGTCCCGATTAAGCTCCATTACGGTTCCGATTGGCTAATAGGAAAAGAATTAAATGTCTAGCCATTTAAAAGATGCTAAAGTTTAGTATCATCTTGATAAAATAGAAGATTTAACACGCAGTAAGAGACTTTATTGAACACCAAATCTTACAAGTACACCAAATGAGTACTAGAGGAAGATAGAAGCTAACTTAAAGATATTATTAGCAAAAGTTTGAACAATGTATTCGTTTCCAGGGCACCGCCTTGCTAACTGTCGATCAACGTCGATGGCACGACTTGAAGGCTCGTCTCAAGATGGCTCAACCCCTTCACGTGCCACCAAAACCCCGTGAGAGTGCCCGTGTTCGGAATCTCTTCTACGAGTTCACGACTGGAAAAGTCTTTGATCGAGTATGCAATCTAATACAAAATACAATCAAAAAACTCATACAGATCTTCAATTTCCTTGTCGTTCTCAACTCGGCCACTTTGATCGTTCCATGGAATGTCGAAGAGGAAGAGGAACGTTTCAATGTTCTTTTCGCTGTCACTTCCCTCGCTGCGATCATCAATGTTTTGTTCGCTGTCGAGGTGCAGATTACTAGCCTTTTATTTACTATTTATTAGCCTTGTATTTTTTTTTTTTTAAATTTTTTTCCCCTCTTTTTTTTTTTTTTTTTTTTTTTTTTAAAAAAAAAAAAAAAAGTTTTTTTTTTTTTTTTTTTTTTTTTTTTTTTCCCCTCTTTTTTTTTTTTTTTTTTTTTTTTTCTTTTTTTCCCTTTTTTTATTTTATTTTTTTTTTTATTTTTTTTTTTTTTTTTTTTTTTTTTTTTTTTTTTTTTTTTTTTTTAAATTATTTTACTATTTGCTAGCCTTTTATTTACTATTTACTAGCCTTGTAAATAAAGTTTAGCGTAAGATAGAAATCAATAATTTTTAAAAAACAATGAAGGAACATTAAGAACTAGGCTTTGACTAGGCTTCATTCAATTTTAGCATTCTAATTTGCACTGCTAATCAAAATATTGGCAGGTAAGGCTAGACCAAGGCCAGAACGAGATCAAGTCTGGATCTGGTCAAGGCAGCCAGGTCCAGAACTTGATTTTATTGTGCTAGATCTGCAAGCAGGACAGACTAGGCAAGGCCAGATAGATCAAGGTCCAGAAAAATGGCTTTTGAATATCAGCATCACTTCAGATTGTGCTAAAAGTGGTGGCTTTTACGGGCTCAGGCTTCTGGCAATCTAAACGCAATCGAATTGATCTCTTCATCACGGCGTTAGGTTAGTATTGAAGACAGTTTATAATTAGCAATGTTTTTAGTTTATTTTAAAATTTAGCCAAAAATCTCTACATCCTTTAGGTCTCCTGTGGGTGATTTCGCATTTCTTCATCGCCGTTCCCCAGATGAATTTGAGTCGAAACTCAGATTTCCGAAAGTTCACCTACACCGGCGGATACATCGTTGTCATTCTACGCTTTTTCACTCTAGCAGGTTTATCGTTAAATTTCTTTTAGTATCGAAGTATTGAAGGTTAGTATTGAAGTATTGAAGGTTAGTATTAAAGTATTGAAGGTTAGTATTGAAGCAGGTATTGAAGACAGTTAATAATCGAAAAATCTCAAAAATCAGGTCGTAACTCGACACTGAAAATGCTGATGAACACGGTGGTGATGTCAATGTTTCGATCGTTTTTCATCATTACCGCCATGTTTTTATTGGTGTTATTCTATGCATACACTGGAGTGATTCTCTTCGGAATGGTTAAATATGGGCAAGCAGTGAGCAAGTGAGTTTTTAAAGACCCAAACTTGGGTATTGTAGACTGGGTATTGTAGCTGTAAAAACAAGCTCACAAAGAAGCAAACTTTGAACAGACACTTTGCAGGCATGTTAACTTTCGAACGGGTTCTGAGGCGCTTGTCGTTTTGTTTAGGAGTATCACTGGCGAGGATTGGAACGATATTATGCACGATTGTATGGTGAGAAGAATTGCAAGAGAAATTTTCAGATTCAGAGACAAATTTAAACTAAAAGATTCATGTAGAAATGATTAGAGTAAAAGTATTTAAGTGCAAGAGTGGAGCAAGAGTTGAGGCTTAGCTACAAGCTTAGCTTGTAGATTTCACCTATCATCGACTCAAATTCCAGCGAAGTCCCCCCTTTTGTTACTGGCAAGAGGGGATCAACTATTGGCAAACGGATTGCGGCAATTATTATGGAGCGATCATCTATTTTTGCTCTTTCTATCTAATTATTACATATATTGTACGGAATCTTCTTGTCGGTAAGAAAAGAGAAAAAGCTGAAAGTGCTGCTAAAAATGCCAAAGCTAAAAATTGCTTCAGCTATTATCATGGAGAACTTCTCATTGTTCTATTCGAGTGAAGAAGATGCTTTACTTTCTTATGCTGATATTAGGAATTTTCAAAATGTTTGGAATATTGTCGATTTTGAGCAGAAAAGAGCGATTCCTGTGGGAAGAGTGAAATTTCTGTTACGGTAAAGGATTCTATTTTTAAAAGAATGTTTTTTTCGTAGATTATTGAAAGGTCGTTTGGAAGTGGATCCGGAAAAAGATCGAATTCTTTTTAAACATATGTGCTATGAAATGGAAAGATTGCATAACGGGGACGATGTTTCATTTCACGATGTTTTATAGTGGGTTTTAGAAATTCAAAAGAATTTTAGAAAAACCCTAAAGTACCCTAGTTAAACAATTACTTTTCATCAAGTTACCTTAAATTTTTATATGACTGAGCTTTGTCCTCCTCAACGAATGATCTCAAAATTGAGCTGAACTTTTCTCTGGCATTTTTACTCGAGTAGTTACACTCTAGACTGATTTATTTTTGGCTACAAATCGCTTAATACTGATCAGAGCTGATATCGATGTGATACTGATCAGAGCTGATATCGATCTGATACTGATCAGAGCTGATATCGATCTGATACTGATCAGAGCTGATATCGATCTGATACTGATCAGAGCTGATATCGATCTGATACTGATCAGAAGATTCTTGCCAACAAGTACAATATTTGTTTAGTATGTTATCGTATCGATCGGTGGATATTCGTAAATCACTTCAACTTGAAGAGCTTTTGCAGCGCGAGGAACTCGAGTTCATCATTGAGGAAGAGGTTTGTGAGAAATCTCTGAAATTCCAGAGAAAGATAAAGCAAGATAAAGCAATATAAAGCAAGATCAAGCCAGAAACCAAGTTCAATGACTTTTTGTGAGCTAAAGCCTACAATAAAGCAAGCAATGGCAAGCAATGTTAGAGGCTTTGAGGCAAGATCCTGGTCTTACCTTTGAGACAATCTGCTTTCAAATTACTTTAAAATTTCGAATTTGATCCCATTGATCGTTTAATTTTTCTCTAGGTAGCTAAACAAACAATTCGCACGTGGCTGGAGACGTGTTTGCGACGAATTCGAAACCCAAAACAGAAAGATTCGTTCGTCGAGATGATGGCCAAGTATCCAAATCCAAATTCTGCTGGTAGTTTTATAAAATTTGCATAAATAGATAAAATTTTAGAGAAAATTTAAATTTAAATAAATATTAAGGCATTCAATCACTTTCTACTGTTTCCGATAAGTCTGAGATGCCGAAATTTCGCTTTGGAGCCCAAGATGGGGCATCGTCGAATGGTTGGTGAAAAGATAACATATGAAAAACATTAGTCAGATAAGTTTATGTCAATATTTTTTAAAACATTGATATACTTTAGCTGTCTGGGACTTTTGTTAACACAAATTTCAGGCACTACTAATATTATTGTACATTTATCAGTTAAATTCAAAACCAAACTCATCCTTATCTTACCTCAAGCCATTTCTCGAAGAGGGTTTTCCCCTCTTCTGTCCAGGCAATTCCCTGAGTCACTTTTTGATAATTTCTGTTAGCCTAGAAAAGAGAAATAAACATTAAATGCATGAATTTATGATAGCTTATGATACCTTTTACAAGAATATTGTATTTTATTGTCCTTAGGAAACTAAATAGGAACTATAAAGGAACTAAATAGGAACTATAAAGTACCCAAATAGAAACTATAAAGGAATTAATAGGAACTATGAACTTTTGTTAGCACAAATTTCAGGCTCAGAGGACGGTGACGAGCCGAAAGAGCCGCCAATTCGGAAGAAAGCGATGAAAAGTCGACGAAGCAGCATTCCCGATGTGTTTCCGGTAAAGTTTCTTGAAAAATCTGCGAAAAATCAAACTAGATTTCCTCTTTAAAGTGTACTTTCTGCTCTAAATCTATCAAAACACACCCTTTCTAGCGCACTGCACAAAGTCTCGTCTTTCTTTGTGCCGTCTGCATGAAAATGAAGCTGTGTTTGCCAGAAAGGAAGATACTTTTAAGCACAATATACGTCTAAATCTATCTAAAGATTTAGTCAATCAATTTTGAATCAATTTTTGCTTCTCTTTATACGTACTTTCTCCTCTAAATCTATCAAAAAATGACTCTAAAATCTTTTCTTTTCCCACATCTTTTCTACCATACTCAATTTGGTCATTTTTCTTCTAAAAACCCTTCGATTTCACGAGAATCATGAAGAATTGAGTGCAATTGAGTGCACTAGAAAAGTTTTGTGTCTAATTTCTAAAGCACAAAGTACATCACAACACAAAGAACAAGTTGCAGCAAAAAAAAAAAGAAAGCGCTCAAGTTAGTGTTTTGCTGCGATCATCAATGTTTCGTTCGCTGTCGAGGTGCAGATTACGAGCCTTGTAAATGAAGGAACATTAAGAACTAGGCTTTGACTAGGCTTCATTCAATTTTAGCATCCTAATTTGCACTGCTAATCAAAATATTGGCAGGTAAGGCTAGAGCAAGGCCAGAACGAGATCAAGTCTGGATCTGGTCAAGGCAGCCAGGTTCACAACACAAATAACAAGTTGCAGCAAAAAAAAAGAAAGCGCTCAAGTTAGTTTTTTGCTGCGATCATCAATGTTTTGTTCGCTGTCGAGGTGCAGATTACTAGCCTTTTATTTACTATTTATTAGCCTTTTAAATAAAGTTTAGCATAAAATAGAAATCAATATTTTTTTAAAGCAAATAATGAAGGAACATTAAGAACTAGGCTTTGACTAGGCTTCTTCAATTTTAGCATTCTAATTTGCACTGCTAATCAAAATATTGGCAGGTAAGGCTAGAGCAAGGTCAGAACGAGATCAAATCTGGATCTGGCCAAGGCAGCCAGGTCCAGAACTTGATTTTATTGACTAGGCTTCATTCAATTTATTCAATTCTCAAGTTAGAATCGAATATTCTTGTAATCGTAAACACTTTTTCTATTCTGCACTAGCCATTTAACAAATAAACAGTCGACTTGGTAGTACTTAAAACCAAAAATACCTTACCCTAATCGAGAATGCAGGAAGAAGAGAACGCCACAAAAGTGACCTCACCCCCATCGACGACGATTTTGCATCACGGGATCCCCGTGACCATAGTACAACCATCACGAGCATCTAGGGTATTCACCGTACTAACAACTATTGCAGATTCTAATCAAAAAACGCATAACAAACGAGTGTTCATTCAATGTTTTCCCCTTTTAACCCACTTTTCCAGTCAAAATCCTTGATTTTGATTAGGCGAAAATGATCAGAATCACGAAAATCGTTCATTTCAATAAGTCGAGTCTGAAAATTTAGAGATTTTGATCATTTTTCCTATTTTGCTAACAGTCCTATTAACAGTGGACTACCGTACCTTTCAGCTAACTTTTTTTTTTCAGACAACAACTCTCTTCCACGAAGCAGCCAGGAAATTGATGGCTACAACGGGTGGTGGAAGTGAGAAAAAGGATCGGAAGAAGAAAGAATCGATCATCGGACAATCGGCAATTTGTGGAGGAGCACAGGGAAAAGAAAGAGAAGGCATCGGAGCGATGGGAGAGACTGTACAACTGTTGCCGAGACAGAGGAGTCACTCGGAACACAAGAAAAGCCTCATCCCGAAGCAGTTACATGTGAGTTGGACTTGTTACAGATTTTCGACATTTTCGACACTGTCGAATCTTCAGATAAGAATATCAAAGCTTTGTAGATATGTTGTTTTAGATTTAGATTTCCATCCGATTTAGATTTCCGTCCGATTTAGATTCATTCTAAATCTTATATAGATCTAAATTGTAGGCTTCAGCGGTTGGAATTTGTCCTCTTTTCTTCTTTTGTAAAAACACGCGAAATTCTTGGTCAAAAAGGTCCTCCATCTGTAAAAAAGCAGCATTTAATAGGAAAACAAGGAAACAAAAAATTCTCAAAAAAAGACAATAAAATTTCTTTGAAAAGCGCAGAAAATTGCAAAAAAAACGCTTAAGAACATATATTAAGCACATTTATTATTGTTCGATCTGTATCGGACGTCCGATATAGACTGTAATCTAAATCGGGCGTCTGATATAGACTGTAATCTAAATCGGACACAACAGATACATTTCAAAATTCAGCTCTCCGTGTACGATTTGCCGGACGTCGAGGAGCGAGAAGAGGGTCTTTTCTCGCCGCCGCGAACCGCCGAGCCGGCTGCTGAGGCATTCTTGTGGATGAGTGGAGCGCTGATGGAGAACAAGTTGACAGGTGGTTAAAAAATGATCTAGCTTTGATCTTTGATCTAGTTTTATTGACAAATGGCCATAGTTTTTCTGCTACTGAACTGTGACTGATAAATAGTTTCCTTAGAAAAATTTGAAAACTTTCCAAATTTCCAGGTCAACCATCACCGAAATTCGGCGAGAGCCCGATGCGTGCAGCCCAGGATGTGAATGAGTGGTGGCAATCGCTCATCAACTAGAGTAGGCAATAGATTTCTTTTGCTCAATGAAAAGTTTGGTGCTTTTTACGGATCTTTTTTTTTTGTTATTTCTCACTGGTGATCTCTATTTATGAAATTTGAATGCTTGAATCATGTTACCTAGAAATAAAACTTATCTTTGTTCATCCCAGCACCATTGTTTCTTTCACAAAAACATACCGAAGACTTTTCGAATCACTGTCACTCAATGACAAGAGCTGAAGTTTTCTTGATGGGCTATTTTTCAATCTGGAAAGTTCTGAACACAATCCCGCAGGCAGGGTTGCTCAAAGAAAAGTTTCCCAAAATTTTCAGCACAATACCCAGGTGCTGCCTAGCCTGACTTCTGTAGGACTGGTCTACAGTGATTGGCCTGGATTGATTTACAGGATTCGGTTGGAACAAGCAACCCTACTTACAGGTGTACTAAAGTTCTTTTTGGAAATTTTTGAAGCAAAAAGCAAAAGAATTGGCGGCGAGAGGAGGCGAACCCGCGACCTCTCTCTTGCGTTCGTTTGAGAGACGTGCGCGTTAACCACTCGGCCACTCTCTAATAGATGGCGCAGTGCGAGCGCACTTATCTCTAACCCACACGATTCGGGTTCGGCTCCGGCCCGTGTCGGTAATTTTCGTTTTTTTAAAATTTCAAAACACAACTAAATGGAATTCTAAGCCAAACTAACTATAAGTGATTTAAAAGAGTCCGCTCGGTGCTGAAGAGTAGTGTACAGTGTATCGTGTACAGACAGACAGACAGACACAGCTCTTATATATAGTAGATTGGTGAGAAGTTATTTGAAAGCATTGACTGTGAGATAGAAGATTGGAGATGGAGGGACAGGAAATGAGCAGTGTAATCCAAGAGGAGCTTATATGGAAAGATTGGGGGAAAGGAGAAGAAGAAGGAGAAGGAGAAGGAGAAGGAGAAGGAGAAGGGGTAAGCGGATTCCCTCCGATGTGCACATCCAATTCTCGGGCTTACAAGAGAGAGAGAGAGAAGAAAAGCGAGAAATTCGGCTAAGCAAATATGCGAGATGAATATTGAAGCTTCCGGTACTCTCAAACCAAATATGGAAGCTGGGAGCCAATTGGATGAGGAAGGGGCGGAGTCTTGGGCCTCCTCGACTCTCGCCCAGCTTCATCCCATCAATCCGCTCATCACAATCCCGGATTTTCTCATTTTCTGGTTATCCAAGATTTACAAGTATTCCCACTAGCTAATTGATCACTTTTCCTCAATCGATCTCTTCATCTTCTCCAGCCATGCATGAGCCCTTCTACTATCAACCGTACTCATTCAATTTAAATACTACAGGTAAGGCTATTTTAAAGCTGTCTGGCTATATTAGCATTGATTACAGTAAGACTTTTACAGTAGCCGTTCGTTTTCATTTTCTATTGCGTTTAATGTCAGAATCGGTATAAAATACTACTTCAATACATCAGAAAAAGAGTACTGTAATCGGTTTCTTTTTTGCCTAATACTATAAGTACTTTAGTCAAACTTTAGCTACTATAGTTAGAGGTTTTTTTATTCTGCAAGTATTGAACACCATTCTCAGAGCTCGTGAAGCTCGGTTTTCCGCCGGAGAGCTCATCGAGAGCGGATGGATCAAATGAGGAGAAGAAAATTGGGGCAAGGAGATCGAGAACTGCTTTCAGTGATACACAACTTGAGGTGATCTTGGAAAGAAATCACTTGAAGCTTAAATCTTTAGGAGCTAGAGAGCTGCTTCTCGAAATGTCAATACCCGGATTTGTCGACGAGGGAAAGACTCGCGAAACAAGTCGATCTGCCAGAATCACGTATTCAGGTGGGATTTCGGAATTCAAAACAAAAATGGCCTCTCTTGTCTCTAAAGAAGATAGTAAACAGTTTTGAATTCTTGAAAATTGATCTGAAAAGCATTAAAGCAAAAGGTAATTCTTCAAAACTGTCACCTTTCCATCAGGGTTAACAAAAAAAGTCAAAGTTTCTGGTCAAGCCAAGCCAAGCCAAACCAAGGCCAAGATTTCAATTGAAAGCCATTGGCTTTGGCTTGGCTTTGGCTTGGTTTGACTTGGCTTTGACTTGGCTTTTTGTTAACTCTGACTACTGGTTTACTAAGTTATGCATACAAATTGAAATCTAACTATGAACTATGAATCACACCTTCACAACAGCTTGATAAAAACAGCTTAACAATAATAACAACAGCTTGATGACACTCTTGTGGCATGGTTTTGAAAAGAACTCAGAAATTGTCCCACCTTCCCGATATTCTTCCATTCTTCCCGAATTTGACCTTTTGCTCTAACGACAAGGCGAGAATCTATGTGGATGACATAACTCTTTATTAATCTATCTCTCGATATCTTTCTCTTTTCCAATCGATTTCCCTTGATCTATCTATTTGCTTATCTCTCCATGACATGCGGGATTTTCTTTTGATCTCTTCAATTGGGCACTCTTCACTCTTCACTCTTCACAAATCAGCACTTGTCCAACCACTTCTTTGGTCATTACATAGGTTAAGAATTGGAATCTCTTTTTGAAAACTGAATAACTTTAAGGTCAAAAAAAAGTCCTTTAAAGATAAAAGTCTCAGTTTTAACGTTTTAAAGATCGACAATTTCAACCCCAACTCCGATAGAAGTCAGCTTAACAATTTCGAAGAAATTCTAAATATTCTACCGTATACCCTGTAGTAAAGAAATGGGGAAAAACTGCAAAGAGGGGCTCTGGCTGGGAATTTGTTTATTTTGGGGACAGGTGGATATTACAAGAGATCCAACAAGGACAACAAAATCGATTGAACAAAGGAAATTTGAAGAGATGATTTTGAATCTTTTCGTCTTAGCCTAACCTCAAGTTTAATTATTGAAAGAAGTTACAGTAAGTTACAGTAATAAGTTACAGTAATCGGGAACGTGTAGAATGCACAGTAAAGCTTCATTTACCCGAAGAATAACGATATGATAGAACGATATGATGCAGTAGCCATAACCATATCGTTATATCATATCGTTTACTTTACAGTAAATGAAAAGATGCACAGTAAAGCACAGCTTTGCTCACAACAGTGTGTTTTAAGAGGTTTTATTTGTGTTAACCTTTCAAAAACGATACTTTAACTTCTCGACCTTTGAAACAATATTTGTTGACAGGATTTTCTTGTAGTGGATGAGAGTATTAGCGGTATCCTCTTCTCTCTTTCCTCTTCAAGACTCATCAAATGGTTTTTGAGGGGCAAGTATGATCAGGGATTAACTCTAGAAAGGAAAAAGAATGAAGATAAATGTTAGTTTGATGAGTGGCTTTAAGACTGTAGTTAGCTTCCGTGTACAGTAATCCTTTTCCAGTAAAATCGCGACTAAAAATTGAGTAGAACCTTTAGAACGATATGGTGCAGTAGCCATAACCTCACTTTCTGCATACTATATCATGTTACAGTAGTATTAAACAAAGTTATCTCAATTATAGTACAGTTTACAGTAATCCTAGGTCAAAGATATACAGTAAAAATTGAGTAAGACCTTTAGAACGATATGATGCAGTAGACATAACCTCACTTTCTGCATGTCTATTTATCTAAAGACTAAAAGCTACAGTAATCTAGAGACAGTAATCTGAAAAACCAACTAAAAATGCTACAGTAAGAATAGGATAAGCTCCGGAATAACTTACGATAAACCAATTTAGGTTTGGTTCAAGAATCGTCGCGCTAAACACCGTAAACGACTCAACAATATTAGAAGAGAGGATTTCGAGGAAATGGGAGAGAACGAAAAGAATAAAATCATCAATAAGACGAATCAGAAGAATGCCGAGAACTCGATTATCAGTGAGTATTTTGCGAAACTCTTTATCGGCATTGGCTTTGTAAATCTTGAAGAACTGAACTCTTTCAGCATGGACTCCAGGGACAGCTTTTCAGGGAATGATCACCCCGAGTTTCTCCTATACATCCACGTTTCCCATCGCGAGTCTACCATTTTCAGGAGTTTGTTTTAAACTTTAAAAAAGCATTGACTACAGTAATACTTTTGCAGTAACCCTGGCTTGTTATCATTTTCTTTTAGCGCTAATTTTGTTAATAAAAGAGCCAGAACCCAGTGCTGGCCTTGAGTCGAACATTGTCTAGCCTAGCTTAGCTTGAATCTGATTCTAGAGCTAACCTGACTCTACTCTTGCTTTGAACCATCATCTTCGAAGCTTGATCTTTGAACTGACAAGAGAATGGTCGTAGTGTAGTGACTCTCCAGTAGTGACTACTGGAGATGGGAAAATTCCAAGTCAAACCTAATTCCATCTTTTGGAAATCTTTTTCAAAACATATTCCAGAGTCGCTTTCTATTCAGCATGACTAAATATTGTAAAATCTAAAAATTCAAGTACCCCATTCGGTAACCCTTTTGAATTCCCTTAAATTGAGTCTTTTTTGAGGATTTTTTTGTGTCCAAGTGGTGCTTGACATGCCCTTTTCCCCAATGAATCTATTGAAATTTGATCCAATCACGATTACCTCCATATTTGTCTTTATCTCTACAAAAATCCTTCTCGGATTAAATCTGGATTGCCCGATTAGTTTGGGTTAATCTCAAGGCTTGACTCAACGATAATCTGCATTAGGATTTGCATTTGCATTCGAAAAATAGAACTTTATATCTAGCTAAAAGGAGATTTGTTGGCTTTTATCAGCAAAAGATTACTGTAACGTGAAAGCTTTGTGCTTTGTGCTCTCGAAAAAGGGAAACACATCCTTTCTAGTGCACTGCAGTTCTCATTTTCTTGTAAAATTGAAGTTTTACTCTTAATAAAAGTGAGGAATTGATTGAACTAGAAAAGGTGGGTTTATAGAATTGAGAACAAAGTACAAGTTACGCGAAGAATCAATGATTATCTAACTTTTAAATATTCAGTTAAATATAATTAGATATTTAATTGATTATCTAACTAACTGATGTTCATGTTAAATGTCTAATTATTGTCTGAAATTTCGGGAGTGGGACAAATGCTACCTTTTTTTTGCGCACCCGGACATTTGCGCACCTTTTTTTCCGCACCTTTTTTCGCATTTTAAAAAAGCTCTAAAGAGCTAATATTAATCAATTTCTATTCCAAAAGTTGTTTTTCTAGGTAATTTTAGGGCGTAGAATCGAAATTTTGACATATCAGAGCTTGTGGAAGCGAACGGACGGAGTTATACAAAGACAAAAATCGACAATTTTCTGTAATTTGATCTAGCCGTTTTGTCTTTCAAATTGGTTCCACAAGCTCTGATATGTCAAAATTTCGATTCTACGCCCTAAAATTACCTAGAAAAACAACTTTTGGAATAGAAATTGGTTAATATTAGCTCTTTAGAGCTTTTTTAAAATGCGAAAAAAGGTGCGCTAATGGGCAAGGTGCGGAAAAAAAGGTGCGCAAATGTCCGGGTGCGCAAAAAAAAGGTCGCATTTGTCCCACTCCCGAAATTTCAGACAATAATTAGACATTTAACATGAACATCAGTTAGTTAGATAATCAATTAAATATCTAATTATATTTAACTGAATATTTAAAAGTTAGATAATCATTGATTCTTCGCGTAACTTGTACTTTGTTCTCAATTCTATAAACCCACCTTTTCTAGTTCAATCAATTCTTCACTTTTCTTAAGAGTAAAACTTCAATTTTACAAGAAAATGAGAACTGCAGTGCACTAGAAAGGATGTGTTTCCCTTTTTCGAGAGCACAAAGCACAAAGCTTATTCATTTAAATATAATTAGATATTTAATTGATTATCTAACTAACTGATATTCAAGTTAAATGTCAAATTATTGTCTGAAATTTCTTTCTTTTTCAGCTCCAATCATTCACCGACTTCTCTCCGTCAAATAAACTGTAAAAAAGTGTTTTTTTTTTTGTTATATTTTTATACCTTAAATAACAATATTTTTCTTTTTAAAATACACCTGTACAGTCAAAAGAAATAAAAAATATATTAAAATATATAGTAAAATAAGAAAATCAAAGTTTAAGGTACAAATTTAAGGTATAAATTTGAAAAGACAAACATGAGCGGCCCGTAATCGGCATTCAAAAAAGAAAAGAAATTGGGGTGGGCTACTTTGCGCCAAACTTTTTGCGCAACTGGGTCATTTGAGCAACTGGGTCGTTTGCGCAACTCGCCACAACTTTTTTCGAAGTGGACCAATCTTTATGATTTTGGTGTCATTTTGTAGATCTCAATAAGTGCAACAAAATGACACCAAAATCATAAAGATTGGCCGACTTAGAAGAAAGTTATGACGAGTTGCGCAAACGACCCAGTTGCGCAAAAAAATTTGGCGCAAAGTAGCCCACCCCAAGAAATTATCTCATCAAAACTCTTTTTTTTCGAAAAGGAATGTAAATGAATCAGTTGAAATGAGAAAAAAAGATATTCTTTTCTTTTTTTTCTTGTTTCTTGAGCTGATAACTTTATGAGAGCAATGATTGAGATTCCAAGCGATTCAAGCGATTTGAGTCGGATTTTCGTCACTTCTTGGGACGACCTCCTTCCAAATAAACCAACAATCAAGAGCGAGTGTGGCGACGAGAACCCAACCGGATAACTGGAAATGAGCTTTATGAGAGTGATATCAGCTAGAGGTTATCCATTTTCATTTATATCTTTTCTAAAACCTATCACTTACCGTAATCTACCGTAAAACTATGTAATTGCCCCTTGCTTTTATCTAATTTGAATTCTTTGGTGTCATTGAATCATTGAATCAGACAAAAAGTAGATAAATTGGATAAGAATACGGTAGACTACGATAGCTTTACGGTAGATTACGATAGCTTTCAAAAAACACATTTAGGCAAGTTTACGGTAGTTTTCAAAAAACACATTTAATAAATGAATTAGTGAAGAAGAAAAATTCCTTTCACGATACACAATTCATTACAGAAGATCCGGGTATTTCCTTCTTTCTTTATTTCTTTCTTTCTTTCTTCTCTCCCCTTGTCTTTCCTTCTTTCTCTTGGCAATTTTAAGCACCGGATAGCTTAGTGGTTAGAGCAATTGCCTGAAAAGCAAAAGATCGAGGGTCGAGCTGAAAGATTCGATCCTCTCTCCAGAAATCTGCCAATCCCTTCACTTCTTTATTACAATTTCATCTTTTTCCCTCTTTTTTTTGTCATTTTGAACGTCGATTGAGTTCAGTCTTGGCTTACTATAAGCATATTCTAATGTAGCCCATTTGTTTAGTTTGATTTTGAAAATAAAACAAACGACAGAAATGGCGAGTTTCCCATTGTTCGCCGACACCGATTCAAATGTGCCAAATTGTTCTTTATCTTTATTCTTCAAGATCTCCTCCACGTTTTCTTTACTGAAAATATTTTAGGTAATGTTATTTCAAAAAGAAAAGATGAGAATTTGTTCTCCGAAAAATTCAATTCAATTGAGAAAATCGAGAATTTTCTCGAGAAAATGTTACAAATTTTAACTATAAAATACTGTTTTTGTGAAGTATTTTGTATCCTATATAACTATTGGGCTGGTGAAACTTTAATAGATATAACAAACTTTAATAGACAATACAGTGCTGGACAATGAAATATCATATTTGAAAAATATGATATTTCACTTTCGCGCGTCTGCAACTCCCTTGTCTTTACCGTATTTCTAAATATTAATATTACCATTGTGTAGCCCTTGAAAAGAGCTTTCAGAAAATGTATAACACTAATAGTTTAAACTCAAAGACAAGGGAGTTACAGACGTGCGAAAGTGACGATCGCTTTTCAAATATCATATTTCATTGTCCAGTACTGTACCTAAATTTAGATATAAGAAAAGTATTTTAAAGCTAAATATCTAAAGATTAATGTTTTAATAGTTAAATATCATCTTTTAAAGTTAATAACTAAAGATTTAAAATGTTCTAAGGGTTTCTATTGGGTTGGTGAATTGAAAACTGCCGGCTATTGTCATATGTGACAGTTTGAGCATTTTCTTCAAAAGAAACCCATTTGGTGTCAATGGAAAAGTTGTAGAGAATCTAAAATGAAGCTTATATCCAAATTTTCAGAACGATTCAAAAACTGGTTCTCAAGAAATGCCAAATTTACGAATTTTCACAAAACTCGCATTTTAAGCGAAACTACTAAGTGTATCTTTTTGGAAATTTGGCTATAAGCCTAATTTTTGATTCTCTACAACTTTTCTATTGACACCAAAATGGGTTTCTTTTGAAGAAAGTGCTCAAACTGGGACATCTCCAGTCCTCGATTTTTGAGTCTCACACTTGTCTCACACACAAACCAAAATCCTACTACGAAAGAGGAATCCGCAAATTGCCTGTAAAATGGGCAGAAGTCATCAATAATAATGGGAATTATTTGGAATGAATTCATGGTTTTATGTTGCATAAATTTTAGTTCAAAGTCCGGCAGTTTTCAATTCACCAACCCAATACAGCCAATAGAACTACAACTAAATCCTATACAATCCTATACAATCCTATACAATCCTATACAATCCTATACAATCCTATACAATCCTATACAACTACAAAATAGTGTTTCAAAATATTCTCAAAATACCGAATCTCTAAGAAAGGTTAGTAAGCTTTTTATAGAAAAAAGAAAAAAAAGAAAACCTTGTTTGTGTGCCGATTCCATTTGATGCCGACCACCAAATCGATATGCAAAAGAACCAAATCACAAAAAGAAGTGCTGTGACAGCCAAATCCTGAAGAACATCTTTAATTACAATACAAATACAATAGAACTTGTATAATGACTGTTTGAGTGACTATAATGACTATTTGAGTGAATTTTTATCGATTTTCCAATGCAACTCACCGCCAACGGAATCCTTTTATCATTACAGTACACTTGCCAAAGGACAACATACGAAAAAGTGACGATCAACACGAAAATCAATGAAACGACGGCGGTGAAGTAGAAGAAACCCGCGGCTCTGGAAGAGGAATCATTTGAACAATAACTTTGTGAAAAATAACTTTGTGAACAATAACTTTGTCAATATAAACAATAACTTTGTTATAACAATAACAATAACAATAACAGCAACTTTGTTTTCACGATCAACTCTTCAGTAGTTCTTTTCATTTTCATTTATTTTATGTAGAATCTAAAGAAATGAAACAATATAGTATTTTGAAAACAGTGAAACATGAACAATGAAACAATGAAATGTATAACAATATGAAGTATAACAATGAAACAGTATTTTGTTTCATTTCTTTAGATTCTATATAAAATAAATGAAAATGAAAAGAACTACTGAAGAGTTGATCGTGAAGAACTTCCGACGTGTCTCACGTGTGGCTCCATTCGATACGATTTCCTTTTAAGTATATTGTGTACAAACAGTATTTTGTTTCATTTCTTTAGATTCTATATAAAATAAATGAAAATGAAAAGAACTACTTGAAGAATTGATCGTAAAAATAAAGTTGCTTTTTTCCGATTTCCACCACTCACCCTCCCCAGCTTCCTGTCCAAAATTTTGTCGGCTTTCCGTCACAACCCTTGATCGGATGACTTGACATTCTGAAAATTGAAAATTTTAAAAGATTTTGAATTTTTTAAATCTTTTGGTTAATCGTTTATCTATTATTTATCGATTTGACATTTGAATCTTCAAAATTTTAAAAGATTTTAAATTTTTGAATCTTTTGAATTTTTTGAATATTTTGAATCTTTTGATTAATCATTTATATATGATTTATCAATTTAATTTTCTGAAATTTAGAAATTTCTACAAAATTGGATAAAAAGCAGAAAAAGAATCATATTTTCTTTAGAAAAATCTAGAACTTTCTAATAATTGTAATGAATTAAATTTTGAGAAATCGAGACGACCAAGTGCGTCTTTCGCTTAGCGGCTTTTAAAAGGAAATCGTATCAAATCGAGCCACACGTAAGACACATCGGAAGTACATCGATGAAAGCATCAATCGCCAATTCTGACTCACGAGAAAGTCGACGTTGTCTCGGTGTGCGTTACAGTTTTGTTTTCGGCATCGATGCATTGAAAAGTCAACTCGGCATGCCATGAATTTGCTGCCGAAAGAGCGATCACCAGGAACACCTCAAGAGGATACCAATACGATTTTAGAATATTGTATAAGAAGATAATTTGAAAAAGAGAAACTACCATCATCTTTTCTTGAGGCTTTCTCCATTTAATCTAATTTTAATTTCATTCAAAGTTTGATCTCATTCGATTCGAATGAGATCAAAATTAAATAATTAAAGTTAAAGTAAAAAGTTAAAGGGATTACGGGGAAGTTTTTTCGAAATTATCCATCAATTTTTGATTTGTTAACTTACAAATTGAATGATCCGAATGAAGCCAAGTGGATATTTGAATACCGATAAGTTTAAATTCTCAAGGCCCATTCTGAAAAGTTAAAAAAGAAAAATTTGTGATTAATTTGAAAAGAGTTAAAGAAAAAGAAGAAAAGCTAAAAAATAAAAATAGATTTGAATTGAAAAATAATCGATATTGAGATCAATTTTCCGTATAGAAATTGAGGTGAAACGATTTGAAACAAGCATAGATTAGTTGAAGAAGTTGAGGAAAAAAAGCTAAAGAATAAAAATAGATTTGGATAAAAAGCAGAAAAAGAATCATATTTCCTTTAGAAAAATCCAGAACTTTCTAATAATTGTAATGAATTAAATTTGAGAAATCGAGATGGCCAAGTGCGTCTTTCGCTTAGCGGCTTTTAAAAAGAAATCGTATCGAATGGAGCCACACGTAAGATACATCGGAAGTACATCGATGAAAGCATCAAACGCCAATTCCGAGAAAGTCGACGTAATTAAGTTAGAAAAGTTAGAAAAGAAAAATTTGTGAGTAATTTGAAAAGAGTTGAAGAAAAAGAAGAAAAAGCTAAAGAATAAAAATAGATTTGAATTGAAAAATAATTGATATTGAGATCGATTTTCAGTATAGAAATTGAGGTGAAACGATTTGAAAAGTGAAACGATTTGAAACAAGCATAGATCAGACAAAACAACACAGAAGAAATATGAGAAAGCAAATTTGGCTTTTTTTAGCCTTTTCTAAATGTAAACGCATCCTTTCTGGTGCACTTGCGCCCTGTTTTTCTTCTAGCATTGAAGCTTTACTATAAAAATGAAGAAAAACGATTTTCGATCAATCTTTTCGAATTGTTTTTATTCGAAAAAGTCGATTGACTAAAAGTTAATATGAAAAATAAAAGAATAGGACTAAAATCTAAAAAACAATCGTTGATTTCATGCGATGATACTAATCGGGAAGAGAGAGGAGAAGGGTTTTCCCTCTCACAAACAGATCAACATCTCTCTTCAGTCTCTTCCTCTCTTTCACCCATTCAAGGCCATCGCCCCGTGATTCATCGATTTTTACGGGTAAGAATTGGGAAAATTCTTTCAAGATTTCTTGTGACACAAAAAAATAAAGCCCAGCATCATTTCCAGCATTGGAAATAAAATTATTTAAAGTTGCGTAACGAAAATCGATGTGAATGAGTTGAGAGATAGGTGTGCAGGTAAGAAATGGGAAAAAGAAGAAAACATGAAAGAAGTGCTTGCATTTGTTTACATTTTGATCTAAAGAGAAGGGAAAGGCAAAGAAGAAGAAGAAGAAGAAGAAGAAGAAGAAGAAGAAAGATGATGGACTGTGGAAAACAGAAAAATTCATTCATAGAAAGTATCCAAAGATGAGTAAAGATAATTTTAAAAGATAATACTTGAAAAGCTTAGTGTTTGAGTTCTTTGACTCTTCTGACTTTGAGTCAAAGGAAAACTTTGAATTCTTGACGTTATTTTATGAAAAATCGATGACTTACCTGGCTAAAAGAAGAGTTGAGAAATTTCTCCACGGGGTATTTGGGTGAACAGATCACACAGACAACAACAACTGATAAGATTGTGTTTGGGAGGAAAAAGGAGGGAAAGGGGATAAAAGAGTATGCAATGATGGGAGAGTGTTAATGATAAAAGCTACAACTACAGCTACTAAATCCCAATTATTGGCACGTATATTTTCGTTTAACTCTTTTATGTTCTTTGAGGCTAAAGGTGATCTGCTAGAGTCTAATATAATAAAAAAAAAACAAGCAAGTAACGTTTACAGTACAGGATTTTTTTCCCAGTGTTTGATACAAAATGCGATAGCGAAAGATAGGCTTAGTGATACGTTTTAGTACGTTTTATATCTTATAGCCTAGATCAGGCTAGACCCAAACCCTCTTTTCACACTACTTTAAGGTGCAGCTAACTCTGCTAAGCTAGCTAGCTACATGTCCCTTCGTGGTTGTCAAGTGGAACCGATTGATCCAAGGTAAACTTACAAGAAGCTAAGTGCAGCTAAGTGAGGGGATCAAGTTTGTTGTGCTGTAATGGTTAGCACAGTTGCCCGATAAGCGAAGTATCGTGGCTTCGAGTTCTTTTTTGACTTTTGAACTGCTCCAACTGTGAACCAGACCAAAGCAAGTTGTTATGATTACAAAAAATTTACCCAGTGTGAGCCTAGGCCTCATTTTGTGTCACTTAGATTTGACCAAGCTTGGAGTTAGACTAGCCTCAGATCGGAATAAAGACCGATTTTTGAAACAGAATCATAGCTATTCCTGATTGTAGAATATATTGCAGAAAAGATTGCAGAAAAGACTAAAATTGGCATAAACCTAATATCAAGTTAACAGTTATAGTGAAAGCCTTAACATATTGATGTTTCGCAAAGGAATGTCGAGTCTTTCCTTTCTTCATTGACTTTCAAAAGACTCATTCTCTTGAGTCATTCTTGGCGCTTGTGAATCAATAAAGCAAACATTCAATGAAAGATTCAATTCATTTTTTTTCTGAAGGAACAACAGTGATAAATTTTGTTGGTGTGTTTTGGGGAGAGAAAAGGGAAGATAAAAGATAGATTAGGGAAGAGGGGATGTCAACATCTCCTCTCTCATTCACCAATCATTGCAAAGGGGGAGAAAGGTGAGTTTTGGTATTTTTTTTCTTCAATCAAAGTTGACTTGGTCCCGCTTTCTAGGCAGATCAGTCTAAATTTCAGAAATGTGATCCTGACCGAGGTCTGGTTTGGCCTGGTTCTAAGTCTGGCTTGTTTTGACCTAAAGTATTGAGTAGAGCCAGCCCATTGGCTAAACTGGACTACGGATGGACTAGTGACCCGATATACCCAAAAAATGATCTGGATCTGACCCAGCTCTGACTTGACCTGGCCAATCTTTCGTGAATCAATCAGCTCTGACTTGACCTGGTCAATCTTTCGTGAATCAATCAGCTCTGACTTGACCTGGCCAATCTTCCGTGAATGAATCAGCTCTGACTTGACCTGGTCAATCTTTCGTGAATCAATCAGCTCTGACTTGACCTGGCCAATCTTCCGTGAATGAATCAGCTCTGACTTCATTCAGTGATAGAATTCATTGAATTCATGATAAATTCATAGAATTCATTCAAAAAACAAAACTTATATTAACATCTGTTTGTAGTAATAAAATATACGAAGTGTGGGAGTTGAGCGATTGGGGAAAACCACCATGAACAAGTGAGTGAATGGGTGAGGAAAGGGGGGAAAAGGCAGAGACGAGGGGGGGAATGGCTCATGCTGTAATGAATGAGGGGAATGGCTCATGCTCGGCTCTTTCCACAAAAAGACATTAATGACAATCGATGAGATGAAAACTATGAAGTTTTCTGAAAGTTTCTAGAAACCGTTCGATTCACAATCTTTTTCTGAATAGATGGCAAAAGAAAAGTGAGTAATTTGAACGATTTTGAGTAAGCTTGACAGTTCAACGATCAACCGGACATTCCAATGTTCATTTATTAGCTTTTAATTCAAAGCATGAGATAAAAATGAAGATATTTAACATGAAAAGACCCGTGAATGCATAAAAAGTAATAAAAAGTAATAAAAAGTAATAAAAAGTAATAAAAAGTAATAAAAAATAGAGAATGAAAGGCGAATTTTGGTGTGAGATGCGGAGGAATGGAATCGAGTTTTTCGAGAGAATCAAGGCATTTCTCCGGTTCTCACATAGTATCTAAATAAAGTTTTTTTAAAAATTACAATAAGATTGTGGTTAAAGTTGATGTATTTTGTAATTTACCGTAGTTGATCCTCGGAATTGACGACAACGAGCCGCCTCTTGACGACGTGATCGCCGGCCAAAGCCAAGAGTTGCTGTTCGGCTGAAATTGATGGCTTTTTCCCATCGATTTTTGAATTCATTAAATCATTTCACAACTTCATTCTTGTCTCTCGAGCTTTAAATTTCAAAATTGATTCAAAAATTGAACTCACTTGCAGCCGCCGAATTTTTCCCGAGCATCGATGGGAGACCGATTTGTCGTTGGAGATTTGGATCAGCTTCTAATGCTCGTCGAATCTCGTCAAGCGAGAGACCCCTTCTTGATCGCATTGAGGAAAATCGAGAATCACAGCCATCAACAATCGGACATTCGGACTGAAATCTTGCATAAATCTTTTGCTTATGCATTAAGCATTTTCTTGACTCTTGAAATATTTTGAACACTCACTCTTGGGCACTCGGCGAACGGGCAAACCCGGATGAGGCAAGTGTATTGCACGTGTGCCGTTGTCTGATAGCGGAATGCCTCGATTGAAACCTAGAATCGCATACCGTAAATACTGTAATAGTGCCCCGCCCCCCCATAATGACGGTGCGGAGCGTTGCCTAGTCTAGCTTTGGACGCGTTTTTCTCGACACTGGCTTATGCTACAATGCGCGCTTAGGTATCAAAAAATAGCTGAAATTCAGAGCTATTTTTTGATACCAAAGACGCATTTTTTGAAAGTACGGGCGCTTTGAAAAAATATATACTAAAAAACTTTTGCGACTACGCGACTGTACGAGGGGGGTGGGGTACTATTACAGTATTTATGATATTTTAATGTTAAAGATTAACAATTGTATTTTGTTGTATTTTGTTGTATTTTGTCTGTATGTTATTTCACCTTCATTCCGTGATCACTGGCCGTCGGTGGGCAAGCGAGTCCCACGAAATCAGCCGGACATCCATCTCGGATAATCGGCAGCGGCTCTTTCTCCCATTCGTATCTGAAAGAAAATCAATTATTCTATTGTTATTTTGTCTTAAAATTCTAGAATTTAAGATTATTAATGATTTATAAATTAATATTGATAATCTATAATAATCTAAATAGATTAAAAAGTTGTCTTTTTGTAAGTTCTTGTAAGTTTACCTTGGATCAATCGGCTCCACTTGACAACCACGAACGGACATGTAGCTAGCTTTAAGAAAAAAAAATAGATTATTATAGAAGTTAGAAAACGAACGAGAAATCGGGAAATGTGGAGTGAAATCGAGAGTGATTCGACTACCGACAACCACCGCTTCCACAGGACGCCCGTTGTGGAAAATGTCGAAAGAGACTGGTTGACGGATCTTCGCAATGCTCAAATAGAACTTTATATTTCTTAAATCTCAGACTCTTTCTATCCCTGCAAGTTTTAGTGTTTTCTCGCAGTGTTTTAGTGTTTTTTTTTTGACTGCGAGAAAGCTTATTCTATTGTTCTTTTGTCTTTCTAAGTTCTAGAATCTAAGATCATTAACGACTTATAAATGAATATTGATCTACATAGATTAAAAAGGTTATCTTTATGTTTGCTCGCCAAACTCTGCGAGTTTTTTTGCTCGCTACAAACATAATATCATTTTTCTCATAAGCTTTTCCGATATGATGTTTGGAATAAATTAAATAAATAAATTGTCCACCAATTTTGAGGTTGGACAATTTATTTCAAAAACCAGTGTATCATTAGATCATTAATGACTTATAAATTAATATTGATCTACATAGATTAAAAAGTTATCTTAAATCTTAGTTATCTTAATCTTAAAGTTATCTTAGTTATCTTAATTAAAGTTATCTTAGTTATTTTAAATCTTAGTTATTTTAAATCTTAGTTATTTTAAATCTTAGTTATTTTAAATCTTAGTTATTTTAAATCTTAGTTATCTTAAATCTTAGTTATCTTAAATCTTAGTTATCTTAAATCTTAGTTATCTTAAATCTTAGTTATCTTAAATCTTAGTTATCTTAAATCTTAGTTATCTTAAATCTTAGTTATCTTAAATCTTAGTTATCTTAAATCTTAGTTATCTTAAATCTTAGTTAACTTAATTAAAGTTAACTTAATTAAAGTTATCTTAGTTATCTTAATTAAAGTTATCTTAAAGTTATCTTAAAGTGATCTTTTTAAGTCATGAGCCATTCCCCAGTTTTAGTGTTTTCTCGCAATAAATAAGATAAATAAAATAAATAAAGATGAACATCTTTCAAAATTCAAAAAGATGAACATCTTTTGTTTAGTTGACTTGAAAGATGTTCCGTTTTGTCGAAAAAGATCAACAAAATACAATACATCGGTGTACCGTATTTTTTTCTAGCTTACTATAGCAAAACAAGATGCTGAGACTTATAGTATTTTGAGGTTAACGGGATGCCAGTGCTCCAGTGCTCCAGGGACCAAGACAAGGCGGGTGAACAAGTTCATTTTGATAAGCCTAACTCAATTATCCAAGAACCTTCTACAATTGAGATTTGAAAACTTACCCAGTCTGAGTTCCAGGCGGTCCAATGGTTGAGGTAGTTGTGGTGGTCGATGAAACGGGGAGTGGTCTCGATGGAGCTCGCGCCAAATGGACATTCATCGAATTCCATTCATCTTTTGGAGGAGTTGATGACTGGAAAGGAATCATCTCTACAAGAGCATCAATTACCCTAGTCGTTGTTGTCGTCGATTTTGTCGCAGTAGTGGTTGTTGTCGTTGTCGTTGTCGTTGTTGTTGTCGTCGATCTAAAGTTGATTTCCAAAAGTTTGGATCGAGGAATTTTTGGTGTTAACTTAAACTTTAACTTAAAAAGCGTCGAAACTGATTATTAACTTAATTCTTCGGTACTTGTGATAGATGCTAAATTTAAATCCATAAATTCGAATCCATAAATTCGAATCCATAAATCTAAATCCATAAATTCAAATCCATAAATTCAAATCCATAAATCCAAATCCATAAATCCAAATCCATTTACCGTATTCTCTCCAATAGTAGTGCGCACTACTATTTTTTGAACCCCCTCCTGGACCGCAATACTATTAGAGAGTGCAGTACTATTAAAGAGTTTTATCATTTACCAAAGTAAGACAGATATAAGATTTGTTCCAAAAATTCTTGCAACTCTTTCACGTACTCCTTTGGCTCCTTTTGACATACAGTTGTGGGCCGGCGAGTTGACAATTTGTGTCTTGACAAACAACAAAAAGATGTTTTTGCACTTTGCACAACAATTTTAGATTTTTTGCTAACTTTTTCATGTGAAGAATAGTTAATAAATGAATAAAAAAAACGCCTCGCTTTTGCTTGCTTGAATAGCTTTAGAATGTCACATAAGCCGAAAGTCAAAAAGGTTTAGATGAAAAAGAAGCAAACAGAAATTCAAATTTTCGGGGGTGCACTACTATTTTTTGAGCCCCCTCCTGGACCGCAATACTATTAGAGAGTGCACTACTATTAAAGAGTGCACCTCTATTAGAGAGAATACGGTATTCAAATCCATATCTTGGTTTGCAGTGAAACCAGATCAGAAGCCAGGATCTGGCGTTACCCAAAAATTGATAATTCGAGTCCAGTTTTAAATGCAACTCTGATTCTTTAGGTAAATTGAGTCACAGGTTCAATGTTTAAACAAAAAAAGCTACCGAGTAGTGGTTGTGGTTGTGGTTGTGGTTGTAGTCGTTGTAGAAGTTGTTGTAGTTGTAGTCGGTGTTGTAGTTATGACTTTGACGGTAGTTGTTGATGATTTAATGCTAGTGGCTGTACTTGTTAGCCTCGTTTTTGTTGTCGTGGTTTGAGTCGGAGTTGTAGTTCTTGCCGTACTTGTCGTGGTGGCCCGTGTCGTTGTCATTTCTGCCATTTTCACTGTCGTGGCCTCCGGTTTTTTCGTCAAATCGCCTAATAAAGGCAATAAATAGGTGTCCTTTGTGTTCGTTTTTGAACTTGAAGTTGTACTTGTCACTTTCGGAGTTGTTGTCACAATTGTTGAGACGATTTTCGGTGTTTCGGTCACTTTCACGACCTCCTTTGCCGGTTGACTTGTTGCAAAAACTTTAGCTCCACCGTGATTCTCCATCTTCACTGTCATCCTTGTCTCATTTCCAATTCCAGACGTTATTACCGGCACAGTTTCTTTAACACTTTCGCGTGATAAAAGAGAGAACAAAGCATGAGCAGAAGCGGCAAACTGATCGGCGGTGATGTCATTGGATGAAGCTCTGAATGGCAAAAAGTGACGGTTAACTTATTGAATTGAAAAAGGTTAACTTATTGAAATCATATTAGAACAAAAGGTGGAACTAATAAAGAATTTGTACTTTCAAGTCTAAACACACCTTTCTGATGGACGGAAATCTCTTTTCTTTGCAAAATGGAGAATTCAGTGCACCAGCAAAAATACGTTTACACTTTTCAAGCACAAAGTACAGATGAATAGTGGTTTAAATGAAATGAAATGAAACGAACGGAGCCTGGGGGAATGGATTGAGTGAATGAGTCGGCGTTGAGGCCATTGGAGCGATCGGGCATCTAGAATGGATTTCGATTTGTTACTGGATCTAATCTGACTCCGATTCAATCCCATAATCGTGGATCTATCGCCCAATCTATTTTGGTATTTTGGTACAGAAAAGTAGATAGATTGGTTAAGTTTAAGGCAAGATTACGGTAGTTAGACACATTTTAAAAAGACGCTTACTTTGCCTGGAAGGTCATATCGTCGGGCGTGATGAAGTACAACGGTTCAACGCCATCCGTCGACAAAACCACATCCAAGATCATGTCATCTCCCTATAGATTTAAGTTTTAGATATTTTTATATCGAAATATAGGTAGATTTTAATATTTATATTGATATTGATGTTGATATTGATATTTATATTGATATTGATATTGATACTGATATTGATGTTGATATTGATATTGATACCTTATATCTGATACTGTCACTGCACTTTTTACTCTTCGTCGGCGACGGGAAGAAGTACTCGAATTTCGTCTGCTCTTTCGGCTCGATTCGACAAGTGAAAAAATCGTAGAGACCTGGAATTTATAATCTATAAAATGAAATGAATAGCTCCAAACGATTGCCCGACCCCGAAAACCCCCGGGCACAAATTTACAGCTAAATATCTTCTTTTTATGCCATCTAAAAGGCAAGTGAAAAATCTCTGGTGAGGTGTTCTTTGTGCGCGTGCACAATCGCTCGCCATCTGATGTATTGCTTTGGGGTAAGGTGTTTCCCTATTCGAATCCGGACAACAAACCGTATAGTGCGCCGGTGTAGGGAAATTTGCTATCGATTGAGACGAGGACCCCGTCATCCCGGCATTCATAGTTGAACTTGTAGCTATCAGACACTGAATAAAGATTACAATTTAAAAGAAATGTCGGGATTTACTCAGCCTTCAGGTACGCTAAGTACATTATATAAATGCCTATACTCTAATAGGATGATACGGGTATACTGTGGCTAACGAAATACACCGTTTTTCGTGCTCTAGCTCTAGCTCTGGCTCTAGCTCTGGCTCTAGCTCTGGCTCTAGCTCTAGCTCTGGCTCTAGCTCTGGCGCTAGCTCTAGCTATGGCTCTAGCTCTAGCTATGGCTCTAGCTCTAGCTCTAGCTACAGTACATCCTTGTAGAATTACAGTAACTTCAAATATAAACCAACTATTATAGCAATTATTCTCATAGTAATCGATTCGGAAATTCGGATTGTTGTTGAGTTTGATGGCTTTCGGTTTAGTGAGCTGATTGTTCGCTGACATGTGACAACCGCCATCGGTGCGATTGAAAGAAAGAGAACGACAGGGGAATCTGAGATTTAATTGAAATGAAATCTCTAAAAAAATCAATAATAAATAGAGTGCTTAAGAATTACTAGAAGACCCTTACCGTATTCTCTCTAATAGTAGTGCACCCCGGCGAGCCGAGTTGGTCACTATTTTACGGTTTCTAAGCTTTTGCAGAAGCTGAACACTCAAATCCCCCACTAGATCTCATCGTCAGCTACATTTTCCGACCGCACATCAATAGGTTCTCATAAGCGCTTTTCGAGATTTCGAGCAATTTAGGCACGACTATTAGAGAGAGTACGGTATTCTATCGTACGGTAATAGGGTATTCTATCGTACGGTAATACGGTATTCTATTCTATCGTTCTATCGGTATATCTAACAGCCAACAATTCATTACTCAAGAGAATCATATTCTAATCATAGACAAAGAAATACGTAAATTTTTAGATAGTTTAGATAAGAATACTTTTCTTCGTTGAGACACGCGGCTAGACAATCCTCGAGACTGCTCGTGTGTCGGACTTCAGCCACCTGAAAGAAGCAGTAGGGTACAGGGGGTTTAATATTTGAATGGGCCAATAGATTACTAGATTTAGAGCTCATTTTGTACAAGTTTAATGCTAAAAAGAAACCACTTATCAATATGCCAAACGTGAACAACTTTAAGTGACTCTTTTTAAAAATTATTGCCTTTTGCGCTGTTGCCTAGAGCCTTGCCTAGAACCAAAACTGAAATTTGATTCTGTCATTTTAATTTTAAAATTCGAAAACCGTTAAATAGTGAAGATTTTCTGATCGTTAAACAAGAAAAACTGGTGAAATTTGTGAAATTTGGTGAAATTTGATGAAATTTGGCCCTCAAGTTCCAATGAATCGATTTTTTTAAATCTCAAATCTAGTAAAATGTAAAAATAAGCTAGAAACTCGAGTTTTTTCGAACTAATTTCTTGACAATTCTTTTCATAGATCAATTTTGAGGATCCTAAACGATTTGCGAGCTCAAAAGTTCCCATAAATACCCTGGATTTAAAGTGTTAGTAGTACTCGGCTGTAAAATGAATGCAGCTAACAATAAGAGATCTGTAAGATCTGTGTATCTCGTAAGAGATCTGTAAATCTAGAGCAGGCCAGGAAAAGCAAGAGCAAAGCTAGTCGAGGTCTGGCTTTCGGTGAGCACAAGAACTTTTGATCAAGCCATAAGAGAGGCTTTATCTTAGCTTTGTTTTTGATCTTTTGATCTAACTTTATTGCCGATTAGTCTAGAAAAATCAACCTCCGCCGCATCCATATATCGATCAGACATAAACGTGAACGCGTGATCGTTTCCGCATTTCTTTGAGGCTAAACTTTTCAAATTCTAAAAGTAAAATTGCAAAACAAATCTCACAATCAACACAGTATTTCCAATAGAACGAGTATCGATCATCAGCTTCGACGAAACCGTCAACATTTTGGAGTTGGTGAGGCTGGAAATTAATGGATTTGATTGAACTTTGTGCTCGAGACTCTAAACGCACCCTTTCTACTGCACTGAAAGATCTAAAAGATTCATAAAAGTAAACCTGAAACACGTCACAATGATGATTGACGTTGTCGACCGAAGTCTGGTGATTCAACGCGGCACATTCCAGGGATTTTCCTGGAATCGTTTGTGGAATTTAGCTAATGCTTTGATATTTATATTTAATTTAGATATCATTCATAATCCCATCATCAATATAATTCAGATTTATCTAACCCACCAGCTTGCAGCGGATCTTCGCCTAACGAGCAAGCACTTTGGCATGCTCTTAGCGAGAGTTTTCCCGAGGAGATTGCGCGAAAGTTTAACCTCACCCCCGGCCACCGCACGTACAACGAATTATGACATGAGGAAGTGGATGCTGAAATGAACTTATTTGAGTTATTGTTATCTTTGATACCTGTTATTAATGGTATCAAAAGAAGGGGAATGAGGAGAGCCCCCATCTCAAACTTTCTCTTTCGTCGTCTTGTGCGAAAATTGTAGGCAGACTTTTCTCTAAAAATAATGTGCTAGTTTAGCTTAGAAACACACGCTTTCTGGCACACACTCTAGGGTGATATAAGGTGTGCGAAAAAGTGGAAATTTAAGAGAGAATAAAGTACAAGCAAAAGCAAGCAACTATAGCACAATTCGTTTTAAAAGATTAAATATTTTGGTCTATAATTGTCTTTTCTTTAGATTTTGCTCGGCTTTACTCTACATTGAATGAACTAAAAGTAATGAATTAAGTAAATCGAGTCTAAAGGAAAGATTCTAAAGATTACGATAGCTTTTCCAACTAGCTACCTTTTTAGAAAACGAATCAAAAGAACACACGAATAATCAGAGGGGAAAAATGAACTTTTCAATGAGCAATAGGGGGCCCTCATGGTGTATTGGTTAAGTTCTCACTTCCAAACTGAGGGTGTGGGGTTCGGCCCCCCTAGGGTTCTCTTCCCTAGCCCGTGCGCCCAGACTAGAGGTGTCTTCTCTAGAGCTGACTAGAGATCCCTTCTCTAGCGGAGTTCACTCTTCCACTGGGTTGGCCCATTCATGGCCTGAGGTTATTAAAGCAAGAAGCCTATCTTCTATCTATCTTCTTTTCTCCCCGCCTCCACATCGCCGAGTAAAATATCTCATCTTTCTCTATGTATTTATGTGTAGATTTGTGTATTGTCTGACTGATTACGCTTTATTTCATGTCCTGAATAAAGTATCAATATCAATGAGCTTTAAAATGTAAATTTATTTGCAAAGGACAAGTGTCACAATACGAAAAAGTATTACTTTGATAAAACGCGGATAGCTTTTGAAAGCGGTCAAAGTTGTGGTCAAAAGCGGACAATGACTTTGTGAGGGAAAAGGGGAGCTTTTTGAGGTGAATGGGGAATGGATAACTGGAATTTCGGGGTCATCCTGAATGAAGAAGAGAAAGAAGAGACTCACTTTATGGGAATCACGAAAGAGAGACTAAGGACAAGGGATTCAAATACTTGTTCTTAACCGGTTAACTGAAAAAAAAGGTCACTCTTTTGGCTGAACTGCTTTGAGATGCCTTGACTCCAAGAAATCTTACTATTGGACAATTATTCCGGTTTGTTTTCTATATTTTGATCAGTTCTTAGATGGCTTTGGCGTATCCAGTGGAAATAAGAAAGCTGGCTTTGTGTCAAAGTGATCAAAAGATGATGAAAAGATGATTTTAAAGACAACTGTCCTTTTCGGTATCAAAGAAATCTGATGGAGATTCAAAGTTGTTTAAAAGAGAAAAATCGTGATCGATCTTCATCAGTGGCTTTGTAAAATGGCCGTCTAAAATGTTTAAAAACTATTTTCAAGATTTAGCGAGGCTTTAGTAGCTCTGGTTAGAACTTTAGCAATTGGCGAGATTAGAAACAGAGATTAGAAGTTCTAACCTTCATTAGAACCAGAGATTAGAAGTTCTAATCTTCATTAGAACCAAAGATTAGAAGCTCTAATCTTCAATCATTTCAAAAATCAAAGAAATCAACTCTCCAATAAATCGCAAAATCCAAATAAAAATGAGAAAAAACAGCTCTAATACGTATTTTGACTAAAGCAATTCGATATATTGCCTAAATCGAGTCCAAATCCTGAGCCAAATCAACCTATTTTAGGCTAAATCAAAGCCAGAACTGGTTTGACTCAGCTTTGGTCTAGTCTTCAACTTCTTCAAATTTCAATTGATCAAAAGGAAATAAATTCTTTCAAAAAAATCCGGAAAAGAAAACTGGTATGGGAGAGGAATCGTTCTTTTTGTCCAGAAGAAATTGTCTGTGTTTTGAGCTATTTAAAGCTAAAGGATGGAAAACAATCCCTTCATCCATCCAGAAATCGAAAAAAAATCGGAAGAGAAATCGAGGAATTGGAGGGGATTTTCGAAGAGAAAAATAGTAAGGAAAGTGAAGGGAAAATCGGTCAAACATGAAAACGGACACTATCTGCATAAATCCTTTCAGAAAAGGGGGGAAATAGGAAAAACTTCTGTAAAAAAGAGGGGGGAAAGTGAGGGATTGAGAGTCACGAATCTGGAAGGAAATGGGGAAATGGAAAAAGAGTTTAGAGGGGAACTTTCATCTGTAATTTGTTTAAAGTATTGTACTTCTTTACACTTATAGTTAGCGCAAAGTACCTTGTTTCTATAGAAGTACTGTACTGTTTAGTTAGTACGGTACTTGCCCTAAAGTTTCGAGTATAAGTTCTGCCTTAATTTACATTCGCTTTAATTGCTTTGAATTTCTTTTTGGTGGGTTTTTTGATACATTTTTATTGTTATATAAAGTTTTATTATTGTTCTTGGAGCGCGGGATACTACAGGGTGACAGCCTATCACCAGGGAGGGATCCATAAGACTGAGCAGGGCCGACGCGCCGAGCCACGCCCGGAGCAACAAATAACAACATAAAATTACTATAACCCTCAATAAATTTACTTCTATTATTGTTCTTAAAAAGCAAAAAAGTTATGCTGCAGCAGGGTTCGAACCCTCGACACACCGCACCGGAGACAGCCGTCAATTTGCATGCGAAAACCAAACAGAACTTATACTCGCGACTTTAGGGTAGTTAGTACGGTACTTAGTTAGTACGTAGACAAAACCTGGGAAGTCAAAAGTCATCATTTGGTACTGTATTGACTGCTTATCTATAAATGTTGTCGCTGAAAAGTTAGCTAATTCAGTGTGCCAGAAAGAGTGCGTTTAGGCTTGATGAACATGATTAAAGTGAGAAACAGGAGAGCAGGATTTTACAGTAAAAATTTTTGTTAAACTATGAATTAAGCAAAAACAATTTGTGCTAGATAGAACGGGAATTCGAAAAGAGAAATCGAATTGAATTGAATCCCATTCGAAAGTGATACATCAAAAAAAAAGGTGTTCACTCTTTTGAAAGCCTGGTGAAATGCGAGAAAATGTCCCAATCTCTAGACAAGAAAAGGGTCGATTCGGGGTCAGATCATCCGCGGTGATGCCCTTGTCCCTTTTTTTGGATAAGAAAAGACTCTAAACCCTATCCAGCTATCTAAAAAAAACGGCCTTGACATGTAAGGAGAGAAAAGGAAAGGAAAACTCTATTGCTTTTCTCTTTTGTGAGTCTTTTTCTCAGCTCTGATACTATCACCGAGATTGGGGCGGGGTAGTTGTGGGACTTGTGGACTGATCAAGTAAACCTTGTAGCATTAATTTCTAAGCTTTCCCTCAAAAAGATATGCCTATACTCGATTGTAGCTTAGCCTGATAATGGATTGAAGCCTGGATTGAAATAGAAAACTGAAATCGGCTTAATATCTTGAATAGCCTAGTTGCTTTTTAGAAAACAACAAAAAATGATTTCTATCGATTCTTTTGTACCATATAGTCGCCAGTTTATAGTAGTTTTGAATAGGCGATTAATAATGTTGTGTAGGCGCTTTTACGTGTCCACAAGTCCTTTTTACAAAGCCAAGAAAAGTTAGTTGACTCACCCTAAGCGTGGCTTTATGTTTTTCTGTGAAATCTAGATATAAGTTCAAAATATTCCTAAAGCACAAATCTTTCTCTGCTAAACTTACGCTACTTTTAAGCTCGTTTCAGCGGGTTGAAACAACAATGGAGTACGTTTAGGATCACGATTTTCAGCACTCTAATCCAAATCCCAGTCACAATTTTCTTTTTTTGAGTTTTTAAGACTACAGTTTATTTCGTTGAAACACATTTTCTGAATCAATTTGAATCAATTTGAATCAATTGATTCAATGAGATCCGTTTGAATCAATGAGATTCAAAAAAATCGGAATAAGTTGAAAAAACGCTTTCCAATTTAAGGAAAATTGCAGAAAGGAAGACTTTAAAACGATGTACTGTACAATTTGTGACAAAACTATCAGACATCAACCAAAAATAAGCGTTTCAGCTCCTTTGTTGAAAATGAACCCAAATAGCCAAATAGCTTTTTTAATTCCTCGCTAAAATAAAATAAAATATCTAAATGATTGCCCCATCGGCCCCTCTCTCACGCACTGCACTCACAAGCACTGCGCTCACAAGCACTGCGCTCACAAGCAAAGAAACTTATTTCTTATGTAAATTTTAATTTAAAACAAAAAAACCAGAAACGAATCGACGAAATGAACAATTTAATACTTTTTGAGAGAAATTTAAAAGTGTTTAAAGACTTTTACTTTTTTTTTCAATCATTTAAGTTTTTTTAAAAGCCTTATAGCATTCATTTCTAGATTTTCCCTCAAAAAGAGATGTCTAGATTCCATTGTAGCCTAGCAATTGTACCAGTAATGGATTACTAGACCGATATTGTTACCAGCTCTAATACAGGTTGATTAGATTAAGATTAAAATTTTAGATATTCGATTAAGAAACTAAACTTATAGATAATACTGCTACTAGGATGATGGTCTAATCAAATTCTACAACTATATTTTTACAGTGGTTTCATGGAATGGGAACTATAAAGGAACTAAATAGGAACTATAAAGGAACTAAATTTTCGAGTTGAGATTACTTCACAATATTTACCCTCATTTAACAGAAACAAATTGCAAATTTATTTTAAAAAAAATTACTAATCAAATATTATAAAAAGGATCTCTCTTTATCGATTCATTCAGTATCCAGTTTGTGGTTGTTGATAGTTTTGCTGTGGATAAGCCGGTTGTACGAGCGAATTCTGATAGTAGGTCTGATCAGGTGGAAGCTCGGGAGCACAGCAAATGCAACGGTTCTCCGATTTGTCTCCGGGTTTGTGCTTGTGGCTGAGGATCATTCCCTTGACGACATGCTAAATAGATTAAATTGAAATTGGAGATATCATGAAATTGGAGAGCTAAAGTCTTTTCTATTACGATAATTTTTAAAAGATAACAGACCGATTTACAAAAAACGATCACACTTTAGAAAAACTGGGTTTGGATCATTAATAAAGTAAACGAAGAAAAGATTTCCGGAGAGGGGATTGAAGCCCCGACCTTTTTCATCCTTTTTCGCTTCCGGAGAGGGGATTGAACCCCCGATTTCCAGGCAAATGCTCTATCCACTGAGCTATACCGTATCTCTCAGCCAGCGAAGAAAGAGGTAATAAAAGGGGGAAGAGAAAGGAAGAAAGGTAAGGAAATACCCAGTTTGCAGTAAAAATGACATTAAAAGCGCTATTAGACTCACTTATAGTTGTCTTTTTAATTCACTAACCGGGCTGACTCCTGGCACGGGTTGAGCGGCAATTCGGCAACACCGAGTACAGTGATCCTCGTATTTGATCGCCAAACGAGAGCATGTGACACGGTGAATGTGACCTAGAAATGGTGATTGTGAGAGAGAAAGTTTAGAACTTTCAATTCTACAACTATAATTACAAATTCTACAACTAAAACAAGGATTATTTTCTATGATTTTCGATTCTACAACTTTCATGTTTTTCAGTAAAGCTCGAATATCATAGAGTTCTTCAATTCAAATTAAAGAAGAGGTATTCAATCTTAGGTTCAATACTTTTCACTCTGACATTGACAGTGAGAGAAAAGCCCGGGATTACGGTATCGTTAAACTTTTCGATTTTCAAAGCACTCACGATGTCGTCGATGATGCTCACTGCTGTAGTCGCCGTGTTTCCACGAGGTCGACGGTGTGTACGAGAAGTTCGTGTCATCTGTGCACACGTGATCTGCAAAAGGGAAAATGGTATCTTGAATTCATGATTGCCATATGTACATCAAAAAAAACTATACTCAACTACCGTAAATATTCTATTAGAAGCTATGGAAGTTGAGCTATAGAAGCTAAGCTATAGAAGCTAAGCTATAGAAGCTAAGCTATAGAAGCTAAGCTATAGAAGCTAAGCTATAGAAGCTAAGCTATAGAAGCTAAGCTATAGAAGCTAAGCTATAGAAGCTAAGCTATAGAAGCTAAGCTATAGAATCTAAGCTATAGAATCTAAGCTATAGAATCTAAGCTATAGAATCTAAGCTATAGAATCTAAGCTATAGAATCTAAGCTATAGAATCTAAGCTATAGAATCTAAGCTATAGAATCTAAGCTCTAAGCTATAGAAGCATCGCGTAGTCTATAGTGTTTACTTTCCAACAAACGCTCATATTTCGTTACTAGCATCTTTATTTCTCCGTGCTTTTGTATCAAATTAAAGTAGAGAGGATGGGTGATTTTTTGAGATATAACACAGATTTCCAGCTTTAACCAGCGCTTAGAACAAAATGATAGAAGAAATGATGAAAAATCGCCTTTTTTAGCATTTTGAAAAATCTAAAGGTCCGCAATGAGATCAAATTTTCCATAATGACTACATTTTCAGAACCCTAACAAAACTTTAGACCGCTTATCACTACTGACAGATTGTCATTTACAATCTGTCAGTAGTTATAAGCAATCAGTAGTTATACAATCTGTCAGTATGTCAGTAGATTGTCAATACATATTTAGAATCAGCACAAAATTCTGCTAATGTTATAGTTTGTATAGCATTTGACCGGCTCAATCAGTTAAACTTAGGTTGAATACTTTTCACTCTGACATAATGAGAGAAAATCCCGGTAGAAAATCCCGGGATTACGGTATCGTTAAACTTTTCGATCAGGATTAAACGCTTCTATCGCGGGGCTTCTTCTTCTATTTGAGTATTTACGGTATACATTTTTTTTTCAATGTTCTGATTAGTAGTTTTTTCAATTGCGATCATTTTAGTTTACTTATTAGAGTAAATACAGTAATGATCTTAATTTATTTTGTGAAGAAAACTCACTGATCACCGGATCGTAGACACTTTGAGCCAGCCATGGATACGTGGAGGCCGCCGAGTTGTACACCGGATTTGAGGCGCTGAAACTTTCTCTCTAATTCTCGAGTTTTAACTATTAATCCATTTTCTAGCCATCTGCAATCTTATCTTGGGTTTTGTTTCTTTCAACTCACCCATATTGTGGCTGTGGGGGATAAAATTCTACGAATGTTCTAGTTCGTATAGCATTTGACCGGCTCAATCAGTTAAACTACGCGACGCTTCTATTGGGGGCTTCTTCTTCTATTTGTTTCTTTCAACTCACCCATATTGTGGCTGTGGAGGAGCGGCGGCCACTGTCGGCAATGGAGGAGCGTTGTATTGAGCCTGGAAAAAAATCAAACGAAAATTTGTCATAAATCTAAAGAGCTAAGATCTAATGGTAAAGCTCAAGGCTCTAACAAAATAAGTTTGATTTGAGAATTTCTGTTTGACTTACCGCTACGATGAGTATCGGAGTGAAGCATGACCAGAGGCTCAACCTCGACATTGCCTGCAAATTCTTTTTGTTTTATTAGGTTAGTGAAATCAAATGATCATAATGCAAAGTCTGAACTAGAGTAATCTTTTGGAAAGTAGAGTAATCTTATTTAATATTACCGTAATCTTGCCTCTACATTTTGTCTAATCTATTCAATTTTGTATCTTTCGATCTCATAGAATCGGATTAAGCAAAGGTTAGATAAAATTAGAAATAAAATTACAAGAGTTTTAAGGAGACACGTAAGGTTTTACGTGTCTCCTCAAAACTACTGTAATTTTACTTCAGTTACAATAGTTGACTCGTTTTATAGATATTCAGTTGTTTAAATGATTTGATGGGAAATTCCCTTCAAATGTAAAGATATTCAGCTGTTTAAATGATTTGATGGGAAATGTATGTAAAGTGTATGTATGTAAAATGGGAATGTAAGTGTATGTATGTAAAATGGGAATGGGAAATGTATGTAAAATGTAAAATAGTTGACTCGTTTTATAGATATTCAGTTGTTTAAATGATTTGGTCACAAATTCCCTTCAAATATAAAGATATTCAATTTACTTATTCAATGTAAAGAGGATTGCTCGTAGTTACTCGACCAAAAAAGGTCGATTAATCGAGTAGAAATTGCTCATACAAAGTTTACTCGAGTAATTACTTAAGGAACATACTCTAGTGCTCAGGCTAACTACACTTGTCTGATCGATATCTTTGCAACAAGTTGACGAAGTTTATGATAGTTTCGAAACGTTTTAGAAAACACGACAGACAATTAAAACTACAGTACTCGTTGAGAAAGGAAAAGAATGCATAAATTCAAACGGAAATGAATCTTTTTCAATGGAAATGATGACTATTCTTCGTTAAGTGGCGTCTGAAAGCTTTGACCTGAAGTCCCTCCCACATCCCATTTCGAATAGCTTTCTGATATGTTGTCATTCCATTATCTTTGCCCCCGAAACAACAACAATTCCCTCCATCCATCCATTTTTCTCATATCTGATTGTGGAGAAAAGCTTTTCAAAGAAAATTTAAAAACGTTTTAAAACAGGAAATCGAAAGGAAATCGAAGAAATTTATCTGAAAATCGGAAAATGATGAAGAAAACCTTTCAGCCCACTTCCCGAAAGTCATTTTATCTAGTTTATCCGGTCAGTACTTTCCTATTACCGTATTTTCTCTAATAGTAGTGCACCCCGGCGAGCCGAGTTGGTGACTATTTTACGGTTTCTAAGCTTTTGCAGAAGCTCAACACTCTAATCCCCCACTAGATCTCATCGTCAGCTACATTTTCCGACCGCACATCAATAGGTTCTCATAAGCGCTTTTCGAGATTTCGAGCAATCTGGCAACGCTCAGGGTGCACTACTATTAGAGAGAGTACGGTATTCTATCGTACGGTAATACGGTATTCTATTCTATCGTTCTATCGGTATATCTAACAGCCAACAATTCATTACTCAAGAGAATCATATTCTAATAATAGACAAAGAAATAAGTAAATTTTTAGATAGTTTAGATAAGGATACTTTTCGAGCAATTTAGGCAACGCTCACGGTGCACTACTATTAGAGAAAATTCGGTATATTTTATTCTATCCCCTCACATGACCGCCATGGCTGACTGGCTAAGAGTCTTGTAGCTTAGTCGGGAGGTCGAGGATTCAATCCAGCTAGATTATTGGTTCTCTTCTGTCCATATATATTCCTTCTTTTCTACATTTAGGGCTTGGGGGTTGTGCTTGTGTATTGTTTTTAGCATATTATTCGTGTGAATAAATGTGTTTTTTAACACGTAATGCAATACTCCTAAATAGGGGTAAATCTGCTAGTTTTTGACTGAACTCACTTACTAGATACCTCCAATTTGTGGTCATAGATTTTGGATTTTGCTTCAGAAGTTTATGGACCTTGATGAAAATGAAAATTTCCATTTGCAATTACCGTAAATACTGTAATAGTACCCCAGCCCCATAATGACGGTGCGGAGCGTTGCGTAGTCTAGCTTTGGACGCGTTTTTCTCGACACTGGTTTATGCTACAATGCGCGCTTAGGTATCAAAAAATAGCCCTGAATTTCAGCTATTTTTTGATACCAAAGACGCATTTTTTGAAAGTAAGGGCGCTTTGAACAAAATGAAATACTAAAACGACTACGCGACCACGCGACTGTACGAGGGCGGTGGAGTACTATTACAGTATTTACGGTAGGTAAATTTACGTATTTCACCCTGAAAACACTCCTTTATTCTGCATTTTTCTTTTCTTCACTTTTACGAGAGGGTTTTTTGTGCTTAAATTGAGATGCAAATGAAAAAATTTCAAATATTTTATTGCCCTTTATACGTGGAATATCCAAAGGGACTGAGTGTTAAAGGAACATGAAAGTGTTGACTCGAGTCGTCGATCTTGAAAAATATCTAAAATTTCGTCGATTTTCTTTCATTTTTTGTCAAACCCACCTCTACGTATGGATAAAATGTCAGAATTCCTTTTTCCTCATAATATTTTCCAATCTCAAATCGAAGTTTATAGAGACCATTCGAGAATTTCGATTCTTTCCCTTCGAGAAACAAGGCTGAAGAGATTCGACCGTTTGAATCAGTTTTGCTGCAATTTCTTCTATCAAAACAAAACTTTCGAACGCCAACTTTTTCCCAATTAAATCCCATGTTTCATTCTCGAGATGATACGTTTTCACTTCAATGTCTTGTCCGGGTTTTCCCTGAAATTTGAGGAAGCTGGTTGGAACTGGTATCTATTAGGAGCGGGCGCCAGGCGGCGAGCGATTACGCGGCCGCACAAAGAACACTCACTTTACAAAGTGATTTACAAGGTGTAACTAATCCTCTTTGTTAACAAGTTTTGCATAATAAATGATATAAAAAGAAGATATTTAGTTGTAAATCTGTAGCCGGGCGTTTCAGGATCAGGCAATCAATCAATTGAAGCAATCAATTGAAGCAATCAATTGAAGCAATCAATTGAAGCAATCAATTGAAGCAATCAATTGAAGCAATCAATTGAAGCAATCAATTGAAGCAATCAATTGAAGCAATCAATTGAAGCAATCAATTGAAGCTCCAATACGGTTCCTATTCGGTTCTAATATGGTTCCGATACGGTTCCAATACGGTTCCTATTAAGTTCTAATATGGTTCCAATACGGTTCCAATACGGTTCCAATACGGATCCTATTAAGTTCTAATATGGTTCCAATACGGTTCCAATACGGTTCCAATACGGTTCCAATACGGTTCCAATACGGTTCCTATTAAGTTCTAATATGGTTCCAATACGGTTCCAATACGGTTCCAATACGGATCCTATTAAGTTCTAATATGGTTCCAATACGGTTCCAATACGGTTCCAATACGGTTCCAATACGGTTCCAATAGCAATCAATTGAAGCTATTCATTTTATTGAGTCTATCAATTCAAACTCGGATTTAAGGAGTGTTTTGAGTAGAAAATTCAGAAATTCTAATTATAAATGCTCTAATTGCAAGGAAAGATTACGGTAACTAATCCTATTTGTGTTAACAAGTTTTGTGTCTCAAAAGTTTCATAAGCTTTATGCATTTCAAACGAACCAGTGATATATCGAGAACATGTGTGGAAAGGCCGGCATTTTGAATCGATGTCGATCGACTCGCAAAAAGCATCAGAAACGAGAATATAATATTTAAAAATAAAGCCATCTTTTTTTGAAACAAAAATCGTTTGAAAGTGTTGTTTTTAAAAGGTAGACTTTGCTGTGTGTATCTCTCTTTTTAAAAGGTAGACTTTGCTGTGTGTATCTCTCTTTTTAAAAGGTAGACTTGCTGTGTTTATCTCTCCATATCAACCCCTTTCGTTTGTTTGTGTTTTGAGAGAAAAGAGTGAAAACAAATTGTTTGAGTCTGAGACTTTGGTCGCGTATCATTTCTGGCGTGTATTTTGTGCTCTTTGGGAAAATAAAGCTCAATTTGAAAAGGTTTTTGAATTTCGAAACAAGCCAAAAGGGCTTTGAAGGCAATTCCTGTGCTTTCAAGGTCCATAACTTTGTTCCAATTGGTAAACTCAATAAAATTAATAACTCCAATCGATTGCGCAAATTTGCAGTAAATTTGTTTTTCTGTGTGTTCTCTGCGCGTCACGTGGTTTTCGGCGCCTTTAAAAAAACACGGTGTGACGCAGATCACTTCCCGGTCGCGCATCGCGGACTAGCACTGGCAGGGGAAAAAGTTCCCTCCCCCCGATAAATTCCCCCTCCCCGTTATAGGGAAAGTATCGTTTTTATTTTGATGCTGTAAGTTGGGGAACGCATAGAGCAGTTTATTTCTGTATATCAAAAATGTGGTCGGGGGCATGGCGATTTTCGTACGAAACTCCGCGACAATTTTTCCATTTTGATTGGTTAAACAAACAGAGAGCAGTTCGATGATCTAAATTGGCGGAAATGTTTTGAAACACTTTGACCCATTCTTCTTGATTTCACTCCTTCACTTCCCAATTTCTTTTATCCTATAATTTTATTTTCTTAAGTACAAAAAATGACAAATCTAAAGCTGGCAACAAGTTTCGTTTCGCAAGAGAAAGAAAAAGACTAGAGAAAGACGAGATGATCGGTAAATGAAATGAAAAATTGGGATTGAATGGATTGAATTGAATGGGATTGAATTGAATGGATTGAATTGAATGGATTGAATTGAATGGATTGAATTGAATGGGATTGAATTGAATGGATTGAATTGAATGGATTGAATTGAATTGGGGATTTAATCGGAGACGATCAAAGATAATGTGATAATGATTAGAGTGATTACTGCGATTTCTCATTGATAATTTGGCAAATTTACCGTAATCTTTCCTTCTGCTTTTGCTCAAAATCAAATTGTAAATCGAATGAGATGAAAATTAAGGAAAAATCGGCACAATTTGAAGAAAAGATTACGGTAGCTTTGCTAAAATATTCAATTTTTAGAAAAGAAATCGCAGTAATCACTCTAATCATTATCACATTATCTTTGATCGTCTCCGATTCAATCCCCAATTTTTCAATCCCATTCAATTTTTAGAAAAAAAAATTGAATCGTGAATGGGCGTATTGTGTTTATGATGATGGAAAACCCGTTTAACAGTCACAAAAATTCGAAAAGAAACTTTGAATTGAATTGAAAAACGAATCGAGAGGCAAAGGAAGAAAAAAATGTGGCGATGATCCTCAAAATTATGATAATTTTAAAGATTCCGTTTCTTTTTAAGACAAAATCTGCATACATTGATATATGATTTCTTTAGTGATAGGAGACTGTTTGATTCGATCCAGGGCTATCCAAATCCGTCTCCACCGTCGTCGAATGCGAGAGGAAAGTGCTGCCGGTGACTCCGCAACTCGCGTACTCTCTCCCGTCGCTGCTGGCTCGACTCCCTGGAATTGTTGAGCTAGATAGTTGAGCTAGATTTCTAGATAATTGTAAGCTTTGTTTTAAAGCATAGCCTCGTTTTCTTCACTGACCAGCATAATCAGAGAGTTGCGATGCGTGAATGGATGCTGTTTGAGCGGAGATCGATGGCGGGACACCGTAGTCTCGATGGGGAATTGGAGGAGCCGGACGGGTGGGACGATTCTCAAACAAGAGACATTTCAGCTTTTTATGTTTGACTGGGGACACGAGAAACTGGCAAAAGTAAGGAATTTTTATTTTCCACATAGGAATTTGCTTTAGAATGATTGTTGGTCAATGGATGGAACATTCTATGCAATCCCTTTCAGTTTCAAACTAATTTTTGTGATTGGAGTGCAAGTTGGTTTCATGTTTTTCATCTTTTTTTTTATCTTATATTCAGATTGCACACTTGTTTGTTGCAAAGTTATTTGTAAGTTTGTTACTTGTAAGCAAGGAGGCGCATCGATTTGCCGATTTTTTTAAAGTACTACAGAAAGAAGGTGTCCCAGCATCAACAAAAATTAAAACAAGTATAGCTTTTATCTTTATAATAACTTAGTAAGTAATTAGAGATGAAGATTGCAATCGCTAATGGTTTCTATCGTGTTTACGGTCGACATACTATTGGGTTGATGTATTGAAAACTGCCGGACTTTGAACTAAAATTTATTCAACATAAAACCATGAATTCATTCCAAATAATCCCCATTATTATTGACGACTTCTGCCCATTTTACAGGCAATTTGCGGATTCCTCTTTCGTAGTAGGATTTTGGTTTGTGTGTGAGACAAGTGTGAGACTCAAAAATCGAGGACTGGAGATGTCCCAGTTTGAGCACTTTCTACAAAAGAAACCCATTTTGGTGTCAATAGAAAAGTTGTAGAGAATCAAAAATTAGGCTTATAGCCAAATTTCCAAAAAGATACACTTAGTAGTTTCGCTTAAAATGCGAGTTTTGTGAAAATTCGTAAATTTGGCATTTCTTGAGAACCAGTTTTTGAATCGTTCTGAAAATTTGGATATAAGCTTCATTTTAGATTCTCTACAACTTTTCCATTGACACCAAATGGGTTTCTTTTGAAGAAAATGCTCAAACTGTCACATATGACAATAGCCGGCAGTTTTCAATTCACCAACCCAATACACTACTGCGCTTTCCATTTTTTTGATATGCAGACTAATCTGCTGAATGCTTTACTTCAGTTTACTAGTTCATAGATAAATTAGATACAGCTATTCGAGAAAACTGAGATTTTGTGGTATTCTAAAAGAAAAAATAAGCTTACCTTAACCGAAGCATAAGATGCATTCGAGAGTCGCCGGGATACCTCGTAGTAGCTGGGATGTGCAGAGGAGACTGAAATATTAATGGCAATGATTGAATTGTTTTAAGCATCCGATCAGAATAGATTATTAGAGAGAATTTCGAAGCAAGATTATAGTAATCAACCATTCTTTGGTACGGTGTGCGGTTCGGCGATCCAATAATCAGTGTCAATTCGTTTCCGATGGATCGCTTTCATTTCCCGTTTCTTCTCCCGTCTTCTCATCCAAATGCAACAGCACATCAAATTAAATAATGTGCCCAATACAAATCCTAAAGAATTTTGATTTAAGATCTATTTTATATCAAATTTTCTATAACCAACCAGCTCCCAAGATCACGCACGCGTAAACGAAAAGATCCTCGTCTTTCCACAAGCACGGCACGTTTTCTTTAATCGGCACGATCAACTCTAAGTCTTTCTCGGATCGTTCGGCTAAAGATTTACCGTTAAATCTGTATCATTGCGTAGTCTTTCTTTTTAAAAATAGTAGAGTCAAAAGCTATCGCCTGACACCAAAGCGCACATTATATTAATAGCACAAAACAGTGCAGAGAAGTAGCGACTACGCCAAGATACCCATAATTCTATTCGATTCCAGGCTCAATTTTTATCCTGTTCGATTTCCTTTCAACTTACCACTTGCCAGCGGAGCCTCAGAAATCGAATCGTCTCGAACAGTGACCGTTATTGACACAAAAAGCACCTCTTCGATCGAATCCTAGAATTTTCTGGATGCTTTTACAAAGGAATTGTTTTAAATTTCGAATATTTAAATGTGTCAGCGTAACTTTTTTCACCTCTTCAACCTCAGCCGTGTTCAGAAGTGAGCGGACTCGGTCTTGCACGTTCACTTTCACCGAGCAAGGTGGCTGAAAATGATTTTGGTTTAAGGGGAAAGGGACGAACTCTGGGTGAAAGGTATGCTGGTGGCCTAGTGGATAACGCATTACTTGCATAATTGCATGGATAACGCATTACTTACGCGCATGACTTCCACTCACAAGGTCAGGGTTCAGTCCCTGATCTAGCTTTTTGTTTTTGTTTTCTTTTAAAGGAACTTCTAGCATTTTGCAGCTATTTCTATTAGGTTGATGCAAAAGTCTTTTTCATTTTTTTCGTACCTCTTTTGAAAAATAACAAAGTCATCAATTAACCTATGGTTTGCTCTAAATGAAAAGTGTTTATTGTTGAATTTCCCATCTTTTTAAGTCAATTTGGGTTCACTTTCAAGCAAATTCGAGAGTGAAAACGGGTTTTTCATAAAAATCTATAAAAACCTCTATAAAGAAATTGGCTGAATCAATTTCTCTGAAAATCTGAAAAAATATCTAACTTTTTGTGCTCTATCTTTTATTTATTAACATCAAGATTGGTTTCCTTAGCTAAAGCGTCTAAAATGCATCATCGAGCCGTCGCCTTTTTTGACTACCCGACTTCAGGCTCTCAAAAAAATCTAAACATAAGACATTTTAAACTCGTTTTAATGTCATTTTGCAGAAAAATAATTGGCCTTTCGAATGCAATAAACCGTTGTTCAATTGGTGCATTTGTTACTTTTTAACGGAAGTACGAAAAAAATGAAAAAGACTTTTGCATCAACCTAATAGCTGGCTGATATTTTTATATTCTGTTCTGATATTCTGTTTGAAATCGTATTAAAAACATTTATATATTTTGTTTGAAATCCTTCAAAGCCCACCCTGCAACTCTCATCCTGGCCACAAATCTGAATGGCGCATTCGACAGTGAGCGTCGTCGTGGACGGGAAGCGAAACATTGACGGGATGACTGAAGTTGAGATCTGAACAAAAACTTGTACTGTGTACTGTGTACTGTACTGTGCTGTGTACTGTACTGTGCTGTGTACTGTGTAAGTGTACTTAAAAGAAAGACTTTCCTTCTTGGGTTCTTGGATTACCACTTTTCTTTCTTTAATAAGTGAAGAAATTTGATTTTTAAAGTTAAAAGTCTTACCGCATTGTCCGAGGATCGAGTGAATGGAGCAAGAAGGGGCGACCCGCTTGGACAGCCACGAGAATCGATCACCTCAAGGATTTCGATGTTAGATTCAATTTCAAAGTTACATATTTAAACCCTTGACATATTATTATATTGATTTTAGATTTGTATTCTAAAATCTCTAATAGCGCAACTTTTCCGGAAGAAGCTTGAGTCAAAGTCAACTTTAGATCGAATCAATCGCAAAGTTTTGTCTTCAGCTCATTGTTTCCTTAAAATTTGCCTCAAATATCAAAAGAGTCTTTAGAAAATTTGATATATTTGATATTTTCTAAATTTTTCTAAACTAACTGTAGCGCTCAAATTCGTGTCCCCTCTTGCGGTGCACTTCGTGACGAGGAATGGCTGAGATTTGCCAGGCATTTGATGGACACTCAACGTGTACGGACGACCGAAGATCAAATCCTTCAAGAGAAAGTTTACCGTAATCGTTTAGAATATAGAAGTGCACTAGTGCACGGTGGCACTAGTACATCAAACTACTAAGTGCACTAGTACTTTGATTGAACTCACTTTCACACTCTCCGGACTGCCAGCCGATTCAAAACTGATCCGAAACGGGTTCTCCGGGGTGCGACGGCTGAATATTGTGTTTTACATCTTGTAGATATTATCTAGTATCTAGTATTATCAATTATATATATACCTGGTGACCTGTTTTGCTCCTTGACAATCAATGTCATAGAAGCGATCCGAGTCGAGGAGAAGCTTCGAGTGGGATCTCGCCCAAACGCGAACCGAATATTTGTCGAGAACCTGGAGAATTGATTGGGAATATTATTAGGGATTTTGGTTGGTAAATTAAAGCCAAATTTTAGGCTAATAAGTTATACTTCTTTTAGCTTTGCAAAGAAAGTAACTTTCAGTCAAGCTCACCTGGTCATAGGTGACATTGCACAAGTCGAGATCGACAAGAGAGATTGAGAGGTGAGTGGTTGTGTTGCCTTTGCCTAGAATTGGGATTTGTTAGCTTTTTCTATGCAAAGTACTGTACAATTGTATGCTTTAAACATTGCTCACCATGTACAGCGCATTGATTTCTCGATCCACCAGCCGTCATCAGCGTTCCATCGAAGGGAAACGGGGTGGCCAGGGTTGCAACGATCTCTTTGTCCCCGCATTCCCATGATAAATCTAGAAAATGGAAATCTTGCGATCTTTGTCCCCGAATGGTAATGGAAAATCAATGTACGCAGTACTATTAATGGAAATTAAATGGAAATCTTGAAATCTTTGTCCCCGCATTCCTATGAAAGATCTAGAAAATGTTAAATGGAAATCTTGGAATGTCCCGCATTCCCATGATAAATCTAGAAAATGTTAAATGGAAATCTTGGAATAAAATTCCAAAACCGTACTCTGTTCATTTGGGTCGTTCGTCTGCGCATCGGTCACCGTGGAGAGGACTGTCTGAAAGAAACTAATTTGCATATGACTTACTAATCAATGTGCGCAGTACTATTAATTCTAATCGTTAATATCATTTTACTTTCCACTAACCAATGGCAAAAGGAGTAGCATCCATACGAAGCTTTGCATTGTCTACGACATGGCCTAGAGCTGAAATTTCCAATATAGACTTGTCGTTGAGGACTTTGCACTCAAGAATGTAAACGCATCCCTTCTAGTGCACGCAATTTTACGCAATTCTTTATTTTTCTTAGGTAAATCATTGATTTTGCAAGAATGCACCAGAAGGGATGCGTTTTTAATAGTACAAAGTATGTACAAGTCAAAAAATTAAACAGTAGCAAGAAAAAATCGACAAGTTTGTACAAATCGGTGTGGTCAATGTGCCATTGACTCTCTCGTAAAAAGCCATTGAGCGGAAAAGAGATGGCCAATGAATAGACGTGTGAATGAATGGAAAAGATCGAGAAAGAGAGCAATTAGATCACAAAGAGATGGGGAAAGGGAGGATTTTGGGGTACTCAATCTTCCCATGGGGCGAATGAAAGGGGAAATGCTCCAAATGACCAGTCGAGAGAGGATGTTCATAGCCAGACTTTCCGGGACCTCAGTTTGGTCCTAAATCCGAAACCCATATTGATAGACTCAATAAAATGAATAGCTCCAATCGATTGCCCGACCATGAAAGCCCCAGGGTGCAAAATTCATAGCTAAATATCTTCTTTTTATATCATTTACAAAGCAAAAGAAAGGCGGTGTTCTTTATTAAAGGAGATGTTCTTTATGCACAATCGCTCGCCATCTGGCAAACCTTCCTGGTATAAGGTGTTTCCCTCGCGGAAAAGGTAAAGGAGCGCTGACAAAAATTCTGATCACAATATTTAGTAGTTATTTCTTTGAGGAAGACCTGACTCCGAAAGGAGCCGAGACTCCAAATGACCAGTCGATCCGGTCATGGGCAAACAAAATCATGAGAACCAAGGGGCAAAGAAGAAAGCCACCAAATGGGTACAAGCCCCACCGGAAAATCCCCAGAGTCCACCCACCCGCCAATTATTAATCACCCCCCTCCCATCGATGTTCGCTCAGCATCTTGTTCCGTCATCTTGTCACAACTTTTGCTCTTTTCCCTTCTTCTTGATCGAATTTGTGAAGTATGTGAAGAAAGAAGAGAGTAATCGAGTATGCTTCGGAACAAAGGATAAAGGAAAATTAAAAGATCTATTGGAAAGATAAGGGGGAGAAATGCTGAGTGTTCAGATTGACCTAAGAGTTCTTGAGGTGAGTCACGAGCGTTCATATTCATATTAGCAGTATTGGTCAGGGTTGCGGTAGAGTTTAGTAAAAAATAAGATAAGTTAACCGAGATAAAAGATAAATAATAAACCATTGAAAGCCAATAGTTCAAGGGGTAGACTAGATTCGAATATTGTTCTACAATTTAGTAAAATATAGAACATACATTTAGAAGAGGTGCAAAATAGGCTGATGGCAAAAAAAGGGTAAATTTCCAGGATAAGCCAAAGCCAAGGTTTTTAGATCAAATGAAACGGTAAGCTTGAAATTGAAGATCAATTGAAAGTCATGAATTTAGTTTGGGATTGGCTTTTGTCCTGGATTTTGTCCTGGATACCTGAGCTTGACCTGGGTCTAAGCTGACCCAAAAAATCTGTATTTGAAACATCTTTTATCCAATCTAAAGCTGAGCCAAATTTTCGGGATTCAATAGTGTGGAAAAACAAGTACCAAATGATTAACAATTGCAAGAATTTGCTGACAATGAGTATCGAATTCTATTACATTGCAGAGAATTGTGTGATTTCTCTAGAAAAGGTCATTTCTTTAAGAAAAACAATCATTTGAGGGGATGATATGGATTGATGAATGTGCTGTGTATCATCTCGAAATCAAAAGGCTTTTACCCTTTCTTTTCTTTTCACCAAAACATCATTAGTTTACAGCCGATTTGTGCGGATTTCGAAAGAAAATGAAAGAAAAGAGGAGAGGAACGGCTAAAAATCAACAAAAAGTGGGAAGATCGATAGGGATCGAGAGGGATTTCTTTAGACTATAGTAAACTATAATAAACTATAAACTATAATAAACTATAAACTATAAAAAACTATAAACTATAATAAACTGATTGCAAGACAAGAAAAGCTTCTATGCTTTTCAAAAGCTTTCAAAAGCGATAGCTCGGGTTGTCAATTCTGCTGTTGTTTGGGTTGTCGATTCTGTGAAACCGTACCTCTTCAGGAAAGACAATGAGAGTTAACTAGTTGTTGCAAAAATGGCACAAGTTTCCGGCAGGTTTGATAGGGAAATCAGGAAATCAGAAACAGATAAACTGGGTAAATGGGTGAGTGAAGAAAATGAAGACGGTGTTTGATCAAAGAAAAGGGAGGATAAAGGAGATCACATTACCCTCTTTCCCTTCACCTGTCCTCCTTTTTTCTCTCTTTTTCTTCTGACCCCATGGATCGCTTTTTTTTGCTGCTGGATCTCCCTCCTTTTGACAGGGTAATCGTCCAAAAAAACCCTCTGTTGGTAGCTTTGGTTTGACATAACGAAACCTTTAAATTATCTATAGATGATCTAGATCTTGAAGCTCTAGTGGATTCTTGACGTTATCTATGCTAGAGTTATCTGTGCTAGAGTTATCTGTTCTAGAGTTATCTGTGCTAGAGTTATCTATGCTAGAGTTATCTGTTCTAGAGTTATCTATGCTAGAGTTATCTGTGCTAGAGTTATCTGTTCTAGAGTTATCTGTGATAGAGTTATCTGTGCTACCCATATCTGTGCTGGAGTTATCTGTGCTACCCATATATTACATATATTATATCGTGTTGCTTTTTTTATCGGCCCTTTTTCGTGTTATTTGTATGAATTGATGTGTATTAATCTTAAATCTAGCGCACTTTATTTCAGGTCCTGAATAAAGTATCCAGCTATATATTTTAGCTATCCAGCTATATATATAACATCATTTTTGTGTAGATATTGGGACAATTAAAGGTTTAACAAATTTTAGGAATTTTAGGCCTTTTATCACAAAGTACCGACCTGGGCAGAAAACTGCTTAAACCTAAATTCTTATGCCAAAAAAATAAGCGGAGTTTGCTTTCATGAACGGGTAGATCATGAACATGAACTTTCAACTAGCCCTGATAGATCTGGCATTGATTTGCCTTTCAAATTAACACATTTTTATTGGGTTGGGGACTATGACTCGGCGCCAAAAATCAAAAAAATGTCTAAAACTTCTAGCAGACTTCGTCAAATAATATCCGTTTGATATCAGTAGAATGGTTAACTAATTCTCTACAAAATGACATTTAAAAGAAAATTCAAACAGCGCCTCCGCTCAAGAAAAAGCCATTTTTTCACAAAAACTACAAACTGTCATCTAGAAAAAACAATTGGTGGGATCTTCCTGCAAATTTGGCAACTTAAGTAATTGAATGTGCTCTATCTTTTTTATATAAACACCAAAGAAGGTTTATGTGAAAGAAACTGTTCAAATGATGAGTCGGGCTCTTTGCCATTTTGACTAGCTGTGTTTGGGAGTCCATAAACTCCACGAAAGAAAAGCTTTGTGGAATCTCTCAAAAGTCATTTTGTAGAGAAATAGTGGATCCTTTTGATGAAACCAAACGTATATTTAAAGAAGGCTTTATGTGTGCAAAAAGTCCCTTTAAAGTTTGGCGCCGAGTCATAGTCCCCAACCCAATACATAAAAAAGACTTAGTATTATGCTTTCTTTCTGAAATTACATTGATAAAAGAATATTTAGCATAGATTATTTTCATTTAAAATGAGGTATTGGACAGGTATCAGTCTACTGAAACTCAGCTGTAAACGGAGAAAATTGACGGTGGCTGAAGTGGAAAGACTGACCAAATTTTCTCAACACTTTTACGGCTATATAATTTGGGCAATACAACTCTTTGCCACCTTTTACAATGCACTCATACTTGTGCACATTTTGCAAAAGAAAACTGGAGTTTATCCTAAAACTGGAGTTTATTTTAACTATTTATTTCAAGAAAAGTCCCAAGAGAATCGATTTGGCTTTGGGTTTTGTATTGGGTTGATGGAAAAGTCCTTTCCGATTTTTTGGGAGAGTACCTTAAATTTGTCCAATTTTGACGTTTTATAGCTCATCCTAAAGCTGAATTCAAGACGGATCGATTGGTAAAACCGTTTTGAGATATCTCTTTTCTAAAAGTTTTTACAGCTATTTTAATAAATGGCGGCAGAGCCAAAAAATGGCTGTTTTCACGTTTCGTTACACGTTTCTTTCCGAAAAAAGTCCCGGTGGAAGTCCCAGCGACCCTCAGCATACCCCCCGCTTCGCGTCCTCGGTTTTCTTTTTTTTTTTGTGCAGCTCAGACTTTTCCATCAACCCAATATATGATAGCTTTTCACAATTGAAAAGACTCAAATTTCCGAGAAGAATCAAAAATTGTTTTTTTGAAAAACAAAAGTACGAATTTTGTAAGGCAAAAAGTTGCAAATCTAATAGGCAAAAAAGTTGAATTCAGCAATGCTTACAGGTTTTTCTTTTCCATACAATCCATACAATGAAAAAAGAAACAAAAAGCAAAGAAATGTGTTCAAATAAGAAAGAACAAAAGTCGGAAAAGCAACCATGTTTGTGAAGGGAAATGAAAAGAAAAGAAAGGAAAAGAAAAGAAATGAAATGAAATGAAATGCGATGGTAGAATTCGGTGAATACAGAAGCAGGGGCGTGTTTTTGACACATCTTTTCTTCTTGAAATGAATCATTTCAAGGCCTTTATTCAAACAAATAAACTAACAGATAAAATCTATTCAGTAAATCTATAATTGAAAGATTCAATTGGGCTCTAGAGTCTGTCAATCAGCTTAGACAAGGCCAAAGCTCCGTCAGAGAGCCAGATCCAAGCCGGGCTTCTACTTTTTGCGAATTAAGATTATGTAAAGCTAGACCAGACAGGTTCAGATTAGACTCTAGAGTATCAAAGCAGAAGCCGGGTTCAGTCTTTCGGCAAGCTTGTTATCCAAGTCAGGTCAGAGAGGGTCAAGTCTGGCTGTAAAGCCAAAGACAAAGAGCTAACCTGGCTGTTAGCTTTGTCTGGAAAGATTGG